ATTTAATAATATAGGGAGTAAGTTATTTATTTAATTCTAATATTATTTATTTATATAATATTTACATATAATTTAAACTAACTAAATTCTTTATTTAAAAAATTATTTAAATAATATAGAGAGTAAGTTATTTATTTATACTATTATTACTTATTTATATAATATTTTTAATATAATTTAAACTAACTTAAATTCACATTATTTTGTAATTTCTTTAGTTGGTAAGTTGTAAATTATTTATTTAATTCTATTATTATTTATTTATATAATAATCACATATAATTTAAACTAACTAATTTCTTTATTTAAAAAATTGTTTAATAATATAGGGCGTAAGTTATTTATTTAATTCTATTATTAGTTATTTATATTATATTTAATTACATATAATTTAAACTAGTAACTAAATTCTTTATCTAAAAAATAATTTAATAATATAGAGAGTAAGTTATTCATTTAATTCTATTATTATTTATTTATACAATATTTACATATAATTTAAACTAACTAATTTCTTTATTTAAAAAATTATTTAAATAATATAGGGAGTAAGTTATTCATCTAATTCTATTATTAATTATTTATATAATATTTAACCTAACTAATTCTTTATTTAAAAAATTATTTAAATAATATAGGGAGTAAGTTATTTATTTATTTAATTCTATTACTACTTATTTATATAATATTTACTATATAATTTATATAATTTAAAATAACTAAATTCTTTATTTAAAAAATTATTTTATAATTTCTCTAGTTGGTAAGTTATAAGTTATTTATTTAATTCTATTATTACTTATTTGTATAATATTTACATATAATTTAAACTAACTAAATTCCTTATTTAAAAAATTATTTTGCAATTTCTTTAGTTGGTAAGTCATAAGTTATTTATTTTATAATATTTACATATAATTCAAACTAACTAAACTCTTTATTTAAAAATTATTTAAATAATATAGCTTGTAAGTTATTTATTTAATTCTATTATCACTTTATTTATATAATATTTACATATAATTTAAACTAACTAAATTCTTTATAATTTCTCTAGTTGGTAAGTTATAAGTTATTTATTTAAGAAAAAATTTATTTCTTCACCGGTGATTTACGTCATACCGATCATTTGCCGATCATTTCAAAAAATGTAATTTTTGACGAAAAAAATTTATAGCTTTGTATACCCTTCAAAATCATAATTTATGAGTAATTTTGCCTGTTCAACAAATTTACTTAATACCTTAAGAAAGATTATAAATACCATTTTTGATATTTTTAACAATTTATGACTTGTGGTGAGGAATATCGAATCTCACCCAGGGTGAGATTACTTATTTATATAATATTTACATATAATTCAAACTAACTAAATTTTTTATTTAAAAAATATTTAATAATATAGAACGTAAGTTATTTATTTAATTCTATTATTACTTATTTATATAATATTCACATCTCTTTATTTATAAAATTATTTAATAATATAGCTTGTAAGTCATTTGTTGTTTTTGTTGTTATATATTTTATACAACATTTTACTTGTAACTGAATTCTTTCATTTAATAATTCCCATTTTTTAGTTGGTAAGTTGTAAATTATAGATTATTATTATATATATTTATACAAAAGCTAAACCATCTGTTATATTGAATTCCCTATTTAAATTTTAGAGTAAGTGTTAATTCTAATTTTAAATTTTATATGAATTTTAATATAAACTTTAATATAATTCTAATTATTTAATATTTATAGATTTGGAAAAAGTGGAAATTCAATTATAGATGATTTTATTTTGAAAAGACACTTAAAATGGATTCCTTATAATAAATTTAAAAATGTTGAATATCTCAATGAAGGAGGATTTGGTATTATATTTAAAGCTAATCGGTTAAATGATGCAGATGAAGAAGTAATTCTTAAATGTCACAAGAATTTAAACGAAAATTTATATGAATTTTTAAATGAAGTATGATAGTATGTTATTAAATTTTTTAATTTAAATCATAATTTAACTATATTAATATATTATTATTATTTTTTTCATAGTGGGAATATCATGAAAAGTGTTTGGATTCAGATAATATTATTAATTTTTATGGATTTACAAAAGATCCAAATACTTCAAAATATATGGTAGTAATGGATTATGCAAACAAGGGTAATTTAAGAGGAAATTTAACAGGAATAATCAAAAATAATTGGAATCAAAAATTATATATGTTGTATGAAATTATTTCTGGACTTAATGAGATACATGGAAATAAACTTATTCATTGTGATTTTCATGATGGCAATATTTTAAATCACAATTATGAGAATAACGATAAAATTTATATTAGTGATTTAGGATTATGTCAACCTGTAAAATCATTCTTGCAAAAGTATGATATTTATGGTGTTATACCATTTATGGCACCTGAAGTTTTAAGAGGCAAATCTTATACTCCAGCTAGTGATATATATAGTTTTTCTATGATTATGTGGGAATTTACATCTGGAGTGCCGCCATTTAATGATAAAGCACATGATCTTCATCTTAGTTTAAGTATTTGTAAAGGTGAACGTCCTGGAATTATTGAAAATACTCCACAATGTTATGTAAATTTGATGAAAAAATGTTGGAATGAAGATCCATTAAAAAGGCCATCTGCATCAGAAGTGAGATATGTTATTAAAAATTGGATTTTCCGTCCTTATAATGAAGAATTAAAAAGTAACATTATGGAATTTATAAATGCACCGATTAGGAAGCACAACAATCTTGCTACTGAATCTCATCCACAAGCATGTTATACAAGTCGCTTACTTGATTTTACTAGTAAAAAATTGAATGAAATTCTTGTAAGTGAAGATTCACAAGCTTATAATGCAAGTTATTCTTCTACTGGTATAACTGAAGATTTAAATGATTGCATAATTAAAGTTATGAATAATTAGGTATGTTAATATAATGTATAATCAAAAATTAATCTTGCAAATTACTGTACTTATGTAAAATTAATTAATTTATTTAATTATTTAGATATTAAAACAAATAAAATTAACTAATTATTGTGTTTTAAAGAAGATTTATTGTAGTTTTAAGTAATATTTAATATCATGTATTCAACAAAAATTGTTCTTTATTTTATTCTTTTTAGATTTATTTAAACACTAAGGCAGAGTAGTGAAATATTTTAAAGATTCTTAGTTTGTAATTTAAATAATTCATTTTTTTTTAAATATTAAATATATATGTTCTCTTAGAATTATTTAAACACTAGGGATAGATTAGTAAATATTTTACAAATTTCTTAGTTTGTAATTTAAATAAATATTTCTTTTTATAACTTTCAATGTAAATATCAGAATAATAATAAGTGTATAAAACCATTTTCAATGTAAAAGTAAATAATATAAAATTTATTATATAGCCGATTGTATTTATTTTATATTTATTTTTAATATTGATTATTTAAAGCCTGCAAGAAATCATATTATTAAGACAAGACATTTTTGTTATGCATAACTATACATAATTATTTTGACTTTATAATCATTGACAGATAATTCAAATGGTCAAATTGAAAATATTTTTTAGAACTTTTTCGTTTAACAATATTTGTAAAATAGTCATTTACGAATTTATTATTGATTTTTTCTTTCAGATCATATTAACATTTCCTAATAAGATGCATATTAAAAATATTCAGCACGACCAGGAAAATGACAAAAAGCATTTATATTTGCCTATTCAATTTGGAAGGTTATTTTATCTTGTAAGCTAATTTCAAATAAATCTTTTTAATAATCTTGAGTTCTTGACATTTTACATTTGGTAATTGATCAAAAAATTTTTTTTTAACACTAAGATTGTAAGTCAATTTATTAAAGTAATAAAGTAAGCAGTACATAACCATTGATACAAAAAATTTACAAACTAAAAAGAACTACTGACTCCCTTATCTACCATGATAGTAAACTACCCAGACAGAATGGGTGGCAAGTATAATTGTAAAAATAACGTAGGCATATAAATTATAATGAGCAATAAAAGTAAAGAAAGAAATTAAGTATTAAAGAACACAAAAAATTTTTCAACCTGATATCAGTGTATAATTTTAAAATTCCAACTGAATGGAAATCATAATTGGAATAAAATAAATGAAAATATTAAAAAAAATTATAAGTGTTACTATTTCTAAGCAAAATAAAAAATATAAATACTATCAAAATTTCTATAAATCTAGGAAAGACACTCCAAATATAGTCAAGTTCCTCGTAAACAATTTACTATAATTTGTCAGAAAAGATTCCCATTCGATGTATGTTAGCATCTCATGGACTGCGCCAGAAAAAAATAAAGACGAATTTCAAATTCTTCAAACTCCTTATTATTATGGCTTGGAAGCATATACTGTAAATTGATGATAAAAGCCATAAAACTATGGAGATTAACCCTTGTATAACAGCTTTCATTATTTTACCTTCTAATAATATGGAATATAACAGATAAAGTTTGTTCACATTTTAATTTCACTTCCTTTTTTCTTTTTTCTTTACGTGTTCCTCCTATTCTTTAGCTCGACTTTATCTATTCTTTATAAGTAAAGCAACCAAATATATTAATCATTTTATCAAACACCACAAAATCATCAAAAGCCAAATAAACTGATATAACGTGATGAATAATGATATTCTCCTTATGACATCTGGAAATTAAGGTTGGTTGCCGTAAGTAACTATTTTTATATATCGAAATCGAATAATCGAATTACAACCTTTAGCAATTGTAATATTATAAACGTAAGCTGTAAATTGGCTGTAAATACTACACCATCGTGGTTAGCTAAAAGATGGTAATTCTGATTTACAACTGTTATATTTACTTGACTTTTGGACTTACAACTATTTACGGAGACCAACACTACTGGAAATAGTAATTACGAAAGGAATTACAATTGGTCAATGGTAGAATTATTTCTTATTAAGCTCTTAATTAACTCCAAAGATTAAAAAGAAATTTGGCACCCTTTGAATTTGTTTTGTCAAATCCAAAAAATTTACTGTATCGTCAAATTTAATTTGATTGGAGAAGATATTTTAGCATTCTTAAAAGTTTCATGTAAATTATTGGTTTGTTCGATTAAGGTGAAGCTGAGCTTATGTTGTTTCTTGTGTCATAATAATCATGTCAAAAAAAAAAAAATTAATTTATTGAAAAAAAAAAACTTGTTAATTTGGCATATGCTGTATTTCACTTTTTAGGCTTGCAAAAGTCTATCGCGGTACTTGGATATAAATACAGTATTTCATACTTCTAATAAATACTGTGCATCAAAATAAAAATATTTTTATTGAAAATTATTTTGCAGAATATAAACCATTGAAATTATCAATTATTAAATAATAAGTTTAGTACTTTAAGAAATTGTAGCAATTAAACGTGTAAGTGAATATACTGTATATGTACAGTATATATAAGTATGAATAATTATGAATAATTATAATTTAATAAGCTGTATAGAATGAGTACATAGTAAAGTAGTATGGTACGATATGATATAATAAGTAAGGTATATTAATTATGTACAGGTACGATACCAATCGTATCGAAATTCCATAGGAATTACAATATCATATGGGTATGATTAATCACATTACAGTCGTATTATAGTAGACAAAATAAATACTAATTTATACAAAATTCCCTTTTTAAAATTTTTAATGGTAAGTTTTAAATTAAATTAATAAAAAAGAAAAAATGTTATAGGTATTATATTTTATTAGGTGACTTCGTACCGTACCTGTAAGTTTAGTTGTTAATAATCAATAATTTTATTTTAAACGTAACTAGTTAACGGTAATGATGAAATTTTTATATAACTAGCCAGTATTTTTTTTTGTTTCAGTACCCACCACAGAACACGGGACTGACGGGGACAAAATTTGAGCGTATTAATTAATAGCATCACGGGATCAACGATCAGGGATTGGAGCATATTATTTTTTAATATTAAAATAATTAAAGATCGTAAATTTTAGAAATGTAAGAATGCATTTGTTTATACGAGATTATCATAAATGTTGTAAATCATCATTAGAATAATGAAGAAAAATAAATTGTTTCATTTGATGTATTGTTTTAATTTTATTTATTATTTAAAAAAAAATACAATAAATTAAAAATTAATGTGAAAAATTTTATATATTTAATAAAGGAAAATAAGTTTAATGCAATCTCCGATACCTTTTTTGTTTATTATTAACTTTTTTATGCTCAGCAATTATATGGTTAAAAATATATATATNTATATATACAAAAAGTAATAATTATATTTATGAAAATTTAATTATTTATAGCATGAGGAATTTTAAGAGATTGTAAAGATTGTACATTTCTAGATGAGAGTTTGCACTTGATTATACAATAACCTATTATAAAAGAAATAAAAGCTGTACCAATAATCGATCCAGCAATTATGACTATAAGTCCAAGTTCTGAGATCGTCGTAGGTGAACCAGAAGATATTATCGTCGGTAATGAAGTTTTAGGCATATCAGGAGATATTCTGTTATAATGCAATAATATTTCAATTTTCAAGAGAAATAACATCAAACCAAAAATTTACTTAATTTACCCATAAAGATCCCATTTTGAAGCATTTAAACAATCAACTTGAGTCACAAAATTATCTTGAAGATCTTTACCATCCGCACAAAAACCAGATGCTAAGTTCTATTTTGAGGATAAAGTAATTTTATTTACTACTAAAATAATTAATATTATTGAGGATTGAATTCTTCACCTTTATTAAACATGAAGAGTGATATTTTATCCAATACTCTGGCCCATTTGCATTGAGATTACAGGCATCACATTCGATAGTGAATCTTTCGTTTTCGCTATTATTGCTTTTAAGATTGAAAAATATATGATTTATAATTAAGTATAAATATGAATATATTAAAGAATTAAGTGTTACTTCGTTGATAATATGTAGAAAAATGAAGCCCAACGCAGCATAACAACATTATAGACGGAGTATTTTTTTTTTTTACGATATTGATTAGGAATTAGTTGAACCAACTAAAACCATCTTATTTTTGTATACATTTTGTTTACTGCTTATACACTTCGTAATTTCTCTATTTCGTTCAAAATTCATCATGAATTTTTCGTGTGTTTTGTGTATTAATCATTTTCTAAGAATGCAGTTTCCATAATTTCTGGTTCTACTTCATACCCTACGGGTAGATGAATCTAGGCAGCAAGACACTCAGTTTAAAGGTTGCATATAGAACGTATAATATAACAAACTAGTCTATACATGTAAGTTCGTTCCCTTCAGATGAGCGAAGGCGAATCCTTGGATTAGATTTTTCTACACACATTTAGCGAATTTCCTCTCAAATACCAACCTCATACTAACAATGAAATGATCACCGATGTTATTGATACTTGCAGCCGGTATTTCAACGACTATAACACCGGTTAAGAAAAAAAAGTTAATTAAGATGCAAAACAATATATTCATCATAATTAATTTTTATTATTTACTCATATTTTGATAAAAACTAATGAATGGCCGAAACTCATAAACACGAATTATTGATTGCTTCAATACGAAAATTTCATTATCTGAAGGTTGGGAACCAGAGTTCCAAGTTCCAATCGCCGGGGAAGAATTGTTCGGGTATCTTTACAATTTAAGGCCATTATTAAAATCAAGTTAAATAAAATATAATAAATAAATTCTTTTATGTATCATACCTGTCTCTTATACACATCTAGATGTGTATAAGAGACAGATATAGCCCATCGGTTCATAAGGAGGGAGGGTGGGCGTTATACTCTTAGATTTAGGATTCATTATTCTTATTATTAAATCTATAATCTAAAATCTAAGATATTAAATTCGCAGGCAAACTTTTCGTGTTGATCACAACCAAAAAAGAGTATACTTTGCAAGTGTTTTGATGATCGTTTGACCGGGAGTCTATGGGGCACATTATTTTAAAAAATATAAAAAAAAATTGTACCACTATATTTCAGAGAGTACGACAGATTACCGAATAGGAAAAGGCTATTGTCTGTTTTTTACTCTACGATAAAGATAATATATGACGATAAAAAAACTACGGTAAATATTTTTGTAATTCGTAAACATGTTTAATTTATGATCAAATAACCTACTTGGAACACTTCTATATCATCAGTATCAAAATTTCATATCAGGATAATCATTTGGATATGACCAAATTGTAATCTATCGTTAGAACACCACATTGCATATTGTGGATTAATAACCCTACCAATTATGCCTATATTAATATTTTATAAACTATATGTTGTCGACCTAAATGTGTTCCTCATATTCCAATCTAACCTCCAATTATCTGATTGAATTTCTCCTTTACCATCACATTTTGAATAAAGTTCTTTACAATGATAACTGCGTTTTGTACTTGATAACGGCTTCCATTTCCTAGTTATTATTCAATTTTTAATTTTCACAAATGTATTAATAATATGATTCCAAATACAATTGCGAGCTAATTTATGATCATTAATTTTTATTTTATTTTATTTTATGTATATTGAATTCAGTTTATTTCATAATTACTATTGTTAGCTTATACGATTAGGGAAGTCAATTGGCGAAGGACTTGTTACGGCACAAAGATAAATTGTCCAAATACAAGTTGATCCATGGCCAAGTTGACGCTTAATCAAATTGCCCATTGGAATTTCATATTATAAATAGCCTTCAAGATTGAGGAAGACAGGTTTTTCTTTTGAGAAGAGTATTAAATTTTTTGATTAAAAATTTTATAGAAAGTATTTGATAATATTGGGATTTACTACCGACAGAACGCTGGGTGAGAAACCTAGCTTAATACATTTAAACTATTATCTTATATTTGTAAATTATTCTCTCAAATAATAATGTATGAAGAAATTAGCTTATATATATTTAATAAATATTGGCCAAAATTATATTATTTTACGGTTAGATAGTCATTTATTTGATACAAATGATAAAAAATTTATGATTCACTAATCTTTGTAATTTTGGGGAACTCTTTTTGCTCATGTCCAAAAATTTTAGGATGGAAAAAAAGGTGGAAGAGTTCACAAAGTGTATAGGAAAATTTGTTTTTAGGCACATTTCAACATCACCAACTATTTATTCACTACTTTATGAACCTTTTGATATAAGTTTTATTGGGTCCCGCTTAGTAGTTTTCAATTTTCTTGTTCACAAATATTATTTCTTTCTGTTGGCCAAAGGTAGTGACCAAAAAAGGGCCAAGTAGGGTGAGGTGTTTGCTCCATAAAGGTATCAATGAGGTAATTGTTGTGGTCCAAATTTGCTGGCCATTTGCGACACCGCAGCAAGCAACGTGGAGATTGAGTAGATGATGAGATAGAGCCTTTTTCTCAAGTCATGTGAATTCACGTAAAAAGTTTTGAGATTAAAATATAAGGTTTCTTCGTAATGATAGCTGTATTATTGGTTAGAGGTAACTGGACAAGCTGTTATGTTTTAAAAGGTTGGTGGTAAAACCGGAAAACTGTGAGCAGATATAAACTATGGGGAAGAAGATCTATCTGGATAAAGCTTTAGAGGAATTTCTCTATACAGCTGGCATATTTGTTCGGTAGGGTGGTTACTAAAGGTGGTGGATATGCACCGAATGAGTGTATAAAGTCACTAGAGAAGATCGATACTGGATATTAGGAGTAATCTGTCGCTTAGCGGGATTCTTTTGGGGATTTTAAATAAATCGGTAACTAGTTTGTAGACTAATTTTTATTTTGTAGGATGGTCAATGAATGTTTGTTTGAGTTTAGTTTAGGCTAGTTTAGACTAGTGTCTGATGGCTCACTGTTTAGAATGTGTCATATAGGTAGAAGGTTTTAGCTCTGTGGTCCTTTATTCTTTATTATTCTTTATTTATTGTTTATGGGTTCATTACGTAGCAGATAGTGGTACTACAACTTTGTCGTATGGGACGAAGGTGAGGTAAAGTGGGAGGTACATGGTATGCACCAAATATAATGTTTTTTTTTCTGTTTGTATATTCTCTATCATATAAATAATAAAGTTATTCCTTTTATCCAAAAAAAAAAAAAATCTTTGTAATTTTAGACTTCCAGTTTTAAAATAAGCAAAACTCTAATATTAAATTTTTTTTCTAAAGTTGACTGAATATATACAGTTATTCATTGAGTAAAACGATTTTCAGTCAAAACTTTTGTATTAATTGACATGGGTATTAATTCACTAATTACGAAATACTATTAAAAAAAATCGACTTAGTAAATTTTAATTTGGAATTACGAATCATATGATATGCATATTATAGCGTAACCACCAAAAAAATTACCGGCACGTGACCAAAATTTTGCGAAAATTAGATGATAAAATTTACCGAAAAAATTTCACGTTCTTGTTTTTCAAATAAAACTTATCAAAGCAATATGTAGTTTTTAAAATCAAATCCTACATGTATTTGCTTTTTCTACAAGCTTTACTTAGAGAAAAAATGGAGTTTTTGAATACCAATTTCTTAATAATGTCAACTTTTACAAAATCAATAAAGTTAAAAATGGTATTTATAATCAATCAAACTTGCAAACATTCTTATATAAACAATGATTTTTTTAAAAAAAAAAAAACCAAAAATTTTAAGTTGCTCTAGACATTTTTAGTTATGATCGGCAAAATTTTTTATCACGTGCCAGTAATCTTACGTGGTTACGCTGGGGATATTTGTTTGTTTGTATTACATTACCAAGAATTTATATATATTTAGTAAGTCCATAATAGAATTATTTTTTCTCTTAATTTTCTTTCTTGTACTTTATGATTACCAATATTAATATCAAAAATGCAAAACACAATAAATACAAATGAATGGATTAATTATATTGAAGAATCTATTTCTAGTGAATATTTTAAACTTTATGAACAAAAACATTTTAGTAATATTCAAAAAGTTGGAACTGGAAGATTAGGAGAAGTTTACCGTGCAAGTTGGAAAAATTCACAATATTTTGCGTTGAAATCTTTTTTTAATCTTGATGACGTTACTGCAAAAGAAATCGTTCATGAGGTATAAATTATGAAATAATTATAATATAACGTCTTTTATATTCATAATATACAGTATATATGTACTCAATGAGTTTATATTTATTATATTGATATTCTAGTTTAAACTTCAAAATGATATACAATTTCATAATAATATTATTAAATTTTATGGAATTATAAAATTTGATTCAGGTATAATAAATTTAAATATTCTATATGTTTAATATGTGATTTTATAAAAATATACTTTAATAAAAAAAAATGATTATTTCTTTATTTTTATAATTAGAAAATCAAAATTCTCAATCAAATAATTATTTATTAGTGATGGAGTATGCTGATTCTGGTCCTCTTAAAAATTATTTAAAGGAAAATTTCAATAGTCTTACATGGAATGTTAAATATAATTTTGCGTATCAATTAGCCTGTGCCGTGTCATGTTTACATAATGAAGGAATAGTGCACTGTGATTTGGTAATTTACTTTATTAATTATAAGAGTAGTATTTTTGTGAATTCTTTGTCATATTTTTAACATCATAACGAATTTACATTTTAAAGCACTCCGGTAATGTATTGGTCCATCAAAACATTATCAAGTTATCTGACTTTGGGTTATCAAAGAGAATTGAATCATCATCTAACACGCAATCAAAACTTTTTGGAATAATTCCTTACGTTGATCCAAAAAGATTTAGTGAACAAATATTTTCGTTAAATGAAAAAAGTGATATCTATAGTGTTGGTGTATTATTCTGGGAGATATCTAGTGGTCAACCTCCCTTTTATTCTAAAGGCAAACAATATGATATTGATTTGGCTTTAGAAATTTCACAGGGCCTTAGAGAAGAACTTATTCCCGATACACCTGAAGATTATGTTAATATTTATACCGGTATGTAATTTATTTTTTGAAAAAAAAAAAAAATTTCAACAAACTCTCATTATTTTACAATATGCTATTATATGTTTTTTTTTAGAATGTTGGAATGGCGAACCAGATAAACGTCCAACCATAAATCAAATAGTAGAAGTATTAAAGGCAATTATGACAAAGACAAATATAATAACAGAAAATTATCAAACAGAATTAATTCTTCATTCAACATCAACAGAAGGATTAAATTTTATTCCAACTAATATTGATACTTTATTAAATATTGATAATTCATTACATGGAGAAATGATACAAAATTTTGATAAAATGGATATAAGAGAAATAGTACCTAGATCATTGAATGAAAAAAATTTAAATAAAACAGTTAATGATACAGTAAATTATATTTTCAAAATAATTAATAAGGGAAAAGAATCAACGCGTGTCAAGTATAATAAGGATATTCTTGATTATTTTGATAATAATATAAATTTACAAGAAATTTACTATTTACTATTAACCAATCAAAATGATTTAAATTCCAAATTCTTACTTGGATATTTTAATTATTTAGGGATTGAAACAAGTGAAAATAATAAGGAAGCATTTGATTTATTTATTAATGCATCAGAGCAAGGTCATATATTAGCACAATTTTACGTTGGATTATGTTATCAATCTGGTTGTGGAACTGTAAAAGATGAAAATTTGGCTTTTAAATATTACGAAAAAATAGCCAATATGGGATATGCATCAGGATTGTTAAAAATTGGTTATTTCTATGATCATGGTATTGGAACTATAATTGATAAGCAAAAAGCAATTGAATTATATCAACAAGCAGCGAATTTAGGAAATAGTGTGGCTCAATATAATCTTGCCCTTACGTATTATAATGGAGATGGTGTTGATAAAGATTATGAAAAAGCTTTTGAATTATGTTACAAGGCAGCAAATTCAGAAAATAGTGATGCTCAATACAATCTTGCTCTTATGTATTATAATGGAGAAGGTACTGAGAAAGATTATGAAAAAGCTTTTGAATTATATTACAAAGTAGCAAATTTAGGAGATAGTGATGCTCAATACAATCTTGGTATTATGTATGAATATGGAAAAGGAATTGACAAGGATATAAATCAAGCAATTTATTGGTATGAAGAATCTGCTAAACAAGGAGATCAAGATGCTCAGAATAAATTAAAAAAATTTAAGAATATACAGTAAATAATTTTATTTGAATATATAAATTGATAGTATTTTAATATAATGTAGTACAACTAGGCGTAACGCGCCGGGATAATACCTGCCAATCAAATAAGAGAGTAATAATAACACATTTATATTTTATTTGCAATGCAGTGTGAATATGTCTAGTTTTTTACTGATTAGTAGGAAATAAATGTAATAAATTACACAATTTATATGATTATACAAATATCAATGAATTGTGTGCAAGTGTTATACAGTATATGAAATATTATTATTAAATGCAAATTTTATTTATCACACGAAACAAATGTTGCAGTACTGTGAAATTTACAAATTTATTACAAAAAAAGAAGTTTATTGTTACATTGTTATAAAAAAAATCTTTTTTTTTATCTTAAAAAATTCCATTGTAGCATTAAAAAAATTACATCCTCTAGAAAAAAAAAATATCTCACTAATTAATATCAGAAAATTAATTATAACGATCTATTACAAAAAATAAATAAATGTAATTATGTTAGTCTATTATTGAGCTTGATACAATTATTATTAATAATGAGAATCGGGAAAATAGGAAGAAAAAAAGCCAACCCGAAAAGGAAAAGGGGAAAAAAATTTTCGGATTGGAAAAAGTCTACCGGAAAAAAAATAAAAAAAAAATAAAAAAATTCGAAAAAATAAAAACGAAAAAAAAAATTTGTGGGGAGGGACAAAGAGAAAAATCGGGTTGAAAAAAGAAACCGAAAGGGAAAAAGAAAGAAAAAATAAAAAAAAATTCAAAGAAAAAGAAAAAAAAATTTGGGGAAAGAAAAAGGATAAAGAAAGAAATCGGCTTTTTTAAAAAAAAATAAGTACCGAAAAAAATTCTGAAAAAAAAGGATAATAATTTGATCCAAATTGGAAAAAAAACCAAATCTAAACGGTGAAAAGAATGAAAAAAAAAATAAAAAAAAATAAAAAGGAAAAAAACGAAAAATTTTTAAAATAAGAAAAAAAAGGAAAAGAAAAAGGTGTTTCGAAAGAGAAAAGAGGAAATTTGAAAAAAAAAGAAAGAACCACCGATTATAATAAAATTGTATATCGTATATTGCAGCATAGCGGACATCCCTATTTTATCACAATACTGACTGATCATTTGTCGATCATTTGCCGATCATTTTTCAATTATCACATAATATAAATACCGTTGCTAAAAAAATTTACATAATAATTAATATGTTCAAATTTCACAAATAACTTAAATTTAGTTTTAATTTATTGTGTATTAAATTTCATTAGATTTTATTAGTATTTGGCATATATTTATTCATTTTACGAAATTATTCACTAATTATGTTACTAATAAAAAACCTGCATTATGAATCAGATCACTGCATTATTTTTTTTATAGATTCTACATAATATAAAGAATATTTGTGCAAATTCTTAAGTNGCACTTCAATTTTTGTCTGATGATCGGCAATAATTAGTGAATTACCATATACAAATAATATTTTTATGATATTATTAAAAATTGTCTAATAATTACATAATTAAAGTCATATGATAATTTAGTGGTTTTACTTAGATTTCCATTATTTTTTTGCCACAAAATTTGAAAAATATTTGTGATTTTGCAATAAGTTTTTAAAATCCGGAATTAGTGATCAGCAAATGATCGGCAAGGTGATATGAGCATGTCCGCTATGCTGTATATTGCGGGGTATGATACAAATTTCGGGGTTGACCTTGTATTACCACGTCTATAAATCAAATTTATTATAACGCATTATTTCAAAAGCTTGTATAATAATCGGAAAATTTTTCACCTATAACTTCTGGGCAAGATTTGATTCTCTAAATAATAAAATTGATAGAAAAAGTAACTTTTTCACATAAAAAAAGGAAGGGATATTATACATAAGGGGTGCTACTATGGCCCACAATATATGATGAATCCATAGCTAACTCCAAATTCATCAGTATTCAGAAATGACATAGTCATTTAATGACTTAAAGAAAATCAAGAGAATAGGGTTAGCATAGATATCATAACTTTTAACTCCTAATTTCATTTTTTGATCGGTTGATATTTTATCATATCATAATAAGGAACTTATTTTAATAATAATTAAATTTATTGTTTCTTTTATATATTTATTATTTATATATACAGTATATTGCATTGCAGAAATCCCATATTTTTGAACGTCGTAACTGCGCCAAAATCACATAATTACTGCGCGTCATTATTGAACGGTCGACGCGTTGCAAAAGTGAAAAGATGTATTATCACTAGTATGCACCTTTTATGTTATTGTAAACATACAAAGTGAACGAAGCAATAGTGGAGATTACATAGGTAAAAGTAATTAATTTGGCTATCAGATATTTCTTACCTCACACCTATCAAAAATTATTACTTTTTGTCAGTGAACCAGCACCTAATTTTAATCGTATTAAAGTAGCAATTACTAAATATTAATTTTACTTTTCAGATAATATACTTCTTATTCGATATTAACTTATTTTGATTAATAAGCAAAAATTTTTATATGGGTATAAAATTTCATATAAGTTCTAAGAATTGTGTAAATGAGAAATATTTTGGCATTTCCTTTTTTTGGTTAAATTTTGTTTTTAACCATTTGACAATTTTATGATGAGTAATTGTGTCGCACAAAAAGTTTAAAAATTTCTCTCATGTTGATTACCAATTTTCAGTTAAAATTCAATTTAACATTATTATAATTATTTCTTTGCGGAATTTTTCGTAAAATTCATGTATAAATGAGATTTTGATATCTATTTTTAGCAAAATCTAGTCAAAATAGATGTCAATTATGCATTAAAATGATAAAAATGATCATTTACAATATGAAGAGCATCGTGAAAAAAAAAATTGATACAAAGAATTCACAAACTAAAATATTTTCACTTAATTATAAAACAATAATCTTTATATATAAAAAATAATTTGGATTATTTAACCATTTTGTACTGGGTTACAACAAAAAAATAATTTATTTGCTTGTACTTTATATTAGTTATGTATTATAATCTTAGTTATTTTATTTACATGATTCATTTTCTTAATGTTTTGATTTATTTTGAGCTTGTTGATCTCCTTGTTTAGCAGATTGCTCATACCAATAAATTGCTTGATTTATATCCTTGTCAATTCCTTTTCCATATTCATACATAAGACCAAGATTATATTGAGCATCACTATCTCCTAAATTTGCTAACTTGTAAAATAATTCAAAAGCTTTGACATAATCTACCTCAGTCCCTTTTCCATTATAATACATAAGAGCAAGATGGAATTGAGCCATACTATTTTCTAAATTTGCTGCTTCTTGATAAAATTTAACTGCTCTTTGCTCATCAACTGTGGTTCCAATACCATGCTCATAGAAATAACCCATTTTTGATAATCCTGATGCATATCCCATATATGCTATTTGTTTGTAATATTTAAGAGATAATTTTTCATCTTTTACAGTTCCATAACCAGATTGATAACATAATCCAACAAAATATCGTGCTAATATATGGCCTTGCTCTGATGCATTAAAAAATAAATCAAATGCTTCCTTATTATTTTCACTTGTTTCAATCCCTGCATAATTAAAATATCCAAGTAAGAATATAGAATTTAAATCATTTTGATTAGTTACTAATAAATAGTAAATTTCTTGTGAATTTACATTATTATCAAAATAATCAAGAATATTCTTACTATTTTTAATACGTGGTGCTAATTTTGCTTCATTAATCATTTTGAAAATATAATTTACTGTATCATTAACTATTTTATTTAAATTTTTTTCATTCAATGATCTAGGTACTATTTCTCTTATGTTCATTTTATCAAAATTTTGTATAATTTGAGACATTTCTCCATATAGTAATGAATTATCAATATTTGATAAAGTATCAATAATATTAGTTGGATTAAAATTTAGTCCTTCTGTTGATGTTGAATGAAGACTTAATTCTGGTTGATAATTTTCTGTTAATAGAATGTTTGTTTTTGTCATAATTGCCTTTAATCCTTCTACTACTTGATTTATGGTTGGGCGTTTATCTGGTTCACCATTCCAACATGCTAAAAAAAAATCATATAATAGAATAATGAGAGTTTGCTGAAAAATTTTTTTTTCAAAAAATAAATATATTACATACCGGTATAAATATCAACATAATCTTCAGGTGTATCGGGAATGGGTTCTTCTCTAAGGCCCTGTGAAATTTCTAAAGCCAAATCAATATCATATTGTTCGCCTTTAGAATAAAAGGGAGGTTGACCACTAGATATCTCCCAGAATAATACACCAACACTATAGATATCACTTTTTTTATTTAACGAAAATATTTGTCCGCTAAATCTTTTTGGATCAACGTAAGGAATCATTCCAAAAAGTTTTGATTGTGCGTTAGATGAAGATTCAATTCTCTTTGACCACCCAAAGTCAGATAATTTGATAATATTTTGATGGACCAATACATTACCGGAGTGCTGTAAAATATAAATACGTTATGATGTTAAAAATATGACAAAATATTCACATTATAGTATAAATTAATAAAGTAAATTACCAAATCACGATGCACTATTCCTTCATTATGTAAATATGACCCGGCACAGGCTAATTGGCTTGCAAAGTTATATTTATCATTCCATGTAAGACTATTGAAGTTTTCCTTTAAATAATTTTTAAGAGGACCAGAATCAGCATACTCCATCACTAGCAAATAATTATTTGATTGAGAATTTTGGTTTTCTAATTATAAATAATAAAAATCAAGAAATAATCATTTTTTATTAAAATATATTTTTATAAAATCACATATAAATATAAATTTATTATACCTGGATCAAAATTTGCAATTCCATAAAATTTAATAATGTTATTATGAAATTGTATATTACGTTGAAGCTTGAGCTAGAATTATCAATATTATTATAAATATAAACTTTAAGTAAGCACATATACATATATTATAAATATATAGTTAATTTATACCTCATGAACGATTTCTTTTGCAGTAACGTCATCAAGATTAAAAAAAGATTTCAACGCAAAATATTGTGAATTTTTCCAACTTGCACGATAAACTTTTCCTAATCCTCCAGTCCCAACTTTTTGAATATTACTAAAATGTTTTTGTTCATAAAGTCTATAATATTCTCCAGAAATAGATTTCTCAATCCAATTAATCCATTCATTTGTATTTTTTGTGTTTTGCATTTTAATATTAGTAATCGTAAAGTACAAGAAAGAATAAAGAGAAAAAATATTCTATTATGGACTTTGCTAAATATATAAATTCTTGGTAATGTAATACAAACAAACAAACAAGCCAATGTGCATATCATATGATTCGTAATTTAAATTTACCAAAATTTCTAATTTTGGCCCAAAATATAAAATTTGTTTCATAAATTAGTAGCTGCTAGCTGTGTTGCAACAGGATTAAATGAGTTTAGATCAATATAACTAAATTTTTGTTTTATATTTAGATACTTTGCTGATTTTGAAACATATGTTTAAAATATGATTAACATATTGCATGTACTGTTAACTCGATATATATTAGCAACTAGAGTCATACCCTAGGGCCGGTGACCGGCCCTTTCTTAGAGTATGATATATACCATAAATTTTAACACTTATTTGCAGAAACAAAAGTATTGGTAAGATATAATTTAATTTTGTTTGAAATAAATAAATAATTTATTTTATTTTTTTTTTCATCTAAAATATTTTAATTTGTTTTTTACGTTTTGATTTAATAATCTTGTAATTGGCCTTAAAAGAAGAATTTATAAAAAACAATTTTTTTTAAAAAAAATTTTTCGGTTCTAACCAAAATATAATAATTCAATAAATTTATTTCACATGATTAAAAACTTAATATTGTAGGATATTTCAAATCAAATTTGGACGATTCTATGTCCACATATTATGTTTTTAATAAATCAATTCATGTAATATATAATTTTTTTTAATAAATTAATTCTGTAATACTGTATATATTTTAATAAGTAAATTCATATAATTTTTCTTTAATAATTAAATTCATTTTAATAATTAAGTTTGTATTATGTTTTTTAATTATAATTTTTTACTAATAAATATTTTTTTAATAAATAAATTTAATAAATTCGGATATATAATTTTTCTTAATAAATCAATCCATGTAATATATATTTTAATAATTAAATTTGTATAATGTTTTTTAATAATTACTAAATTTGTATAATGCTTTTTTTTAATAAATAAACTCATAATGTTTTTTAATAAATAAATTTAATAAATTCGGGGTTATATATTATTTTTAATAAAATTCTGATATATATATATATATTTTAATAAAATAAAATTCGGATATATATTTTTTAATAAAATAAAATTCATATATATATATATTTTTGGATATATATATTTTTTATATAATTTGGATATTTTAATAAAATTCAGACATTTTTTTTTTTATATTTGATCAGGTTCATTTAAGAATGTTATTCGCTTTATATTTAATTTCCTTCAATTCCTATTATAGTTAATTACCTGAACAATGTATACGAATAAAAAATATTTCCTTGATGTTAATAGTATGTAGTCAGATCATGATCAATTTTTTTTTTTTTTTTATATAAATGACCATTGTTCGTAATATTGAACTCAATATCAACTCAATATCAATATCAATATCAATATCAATAATATAATAATATATAAAAACGTACCCTATACTTAGCGCATAAGAGCTAACCAAATTAGTAAAATTTTCCTTCCTTTCCAGGATAGCACGATTAGCATAACAACCAATTACAAGGACTATCACTATTAAAATGAAGATCACCTGATATCGTTAACTATATAGCGTGATCTGTATATAGTGTCAATATGCCAAGCATATGTTAGGAAATGCGAGGTCAAAATATGTTTAGAGTATGTTGGACATCTTTCAAAAATATGTAAAAAATATAAAACAATATAATGGGGATATTTTTATTATATATCGAAATTACGTTTAATATGTCATAAATAATGTAATTTATTATATTAAAAATGCAATATTATATTGGAAACATGCAAAATTATAAATGAATATTAATTTTGTATGAATATTGTTATGAAACTTGCAATCTCTATTGCCCACCCGAAACCACCTAAAACCTAACTTTACAATAGTTTTAGTCGTATAACTTTGTCTTGATTTATTAGGCCATTAGGGACAGTATTAGGACTATTATTTTGGGCATTATTGTAAATCTTTTGGAAATTTTGGACTCCTGCCAATTTTTTTCATACTTTATTAATTCTTCCATTGCCTTATCTTTCTTGGAAAAATTTGTTCTTTTCTTTGATAGGAATGTCCTGCAAATTTGTGAAATTTGGTTGATTCTTTTCAATTCAAAATTTTCTTTGGTATTGAATTATATGATTTATTGGTTAAAAGAAAATATCGCTTTTCTCTAGTTTTAGGACTATAAACGTAATTTTTGGTGAGTTTTTTTCTTTTTAATTTCTATCTTTTAACGAAACTTCACTTACATTTCATTTTTTTTTTATTTTTTAGGTGGCCGGTTCTTGACGCGTGAGAAATTAGGTTGATTTTTCAATTTCTTTTTAAAAATAAAGGGAATAAAGTGCTCAAATTTATTAGAATTTATAGAATAGAATTAACTCTGAAATAGAAGTAGTAAAATTAAACCTGAACTCATTCCGCGCCCAGACCTTTATATATAGTTTGATTAGGTATAATTGTTTCATCTAATTACTTTAAAAGAGAGATATGAATAACCGTTCATTAAAATAAAATTCAAGAAAAAAATTAGTAAACTCACCAAAATATAGTGTCCTAAAGAGATTCAAAGATCAATGAAATCCTATAAGTCCATAAGTTCTGAAAAGTAACAATCTAAAAAAAGTAAAAAAATGAAATGTTTAAAATAAAAAAAGAAGCAGAAACTTATCCTTCCACCAAAATTCTATGCGTCCAAAGACCTAAAAAATTAGCCGTCAAAAATATGAAAAATGAATTATTAGAAAAGTCCATTAAAATCATTAAAAATTGAAATTAAAAAGAAAAAAAATTAACAAAATCCTATATGTTCAAAAAGCTCAGTCTGAAAAAAAAAATCACAAAAAAAAAATACTTAAATTTGTTTACGATAGTATAAATTTTTTCAATTTATTGCGCACGAGTTTTGATTCTAGCAAAATTTGACATGAATGAGCTGGCTAACGCCAATAGAAAGAATAATACACAGTGAAATTCGATAAACCGGATTTGGGCCCAAACCGGACTTTTTTGCTGGACGTATATTACAGCTGTTTTCATAAGACCTGGGACAAAATGACTGCTGACCCGCCGATCTGGTTCAGTTGTTATTTATTTTACAAATCAAACTATCAAATCTGGATCACGTGCCCAGCTAAAAATACTGGATCGGTGGGTCAGCGGTCAGGTTCAAAAATTTATTTTGTCCCAGGTCTTAGTATGAAAACAGCTGTAAAATAGTTTCGATATACCGATGTAAGACCTAAGCCCGCGATAAGTCACGTTGCCACCTTAGGCTTAACAAAATAATGCTTTATTAATAATATAAATATTAAATAAATACAAATATATGCTTGGTTTAATATAACTAAAAATAAATAAATATAACCGAAAATAAAATCTCAAAATTAGTATTCCTGATTTTTATCAAACTCAAAATTTACCACAATCTAAAAATACTTTCTCCAAGAATCATTTTCAACATTTTATCTCTTTTAATGTCAAACCCTTATAATTTTAAATCCCTCAAATTTTATACTCAATCAAACCACTCATTTTGAAACATATCAGTTACTGGAAATGTCACAAAAAAAGAAGGCAAATTTTTTTCACTAAAGTTGGTAAAAAAAATTTGTGGTACAATATTCTCTTTAAGTATACAATATATGTATATAATTAAAGTTGGCCAAAATTAATTAAATCAGGATAAATTTGCAAATCGATAATTTATAATTCTGGCCAAAATTTTGTTAATTCTGGCCAGATTCATAATGCCGGCCTAAATTTAGTTAAAATGAAAAAATTTAGGTTATATATCACATCATATTTATACAATATAATTAGATTAATTGAAAAAAAATTTTAAACTTATTGACCACTTCTACAATTTTATTAAAATTAAAAAATATTCACATAATCTTTATTATTCAACTTGAATCTTTATTTAAAGTTAATGTATTTTTTATATTAATTGCCGATTCGCCACTCAGCGATACAAAATGATCGGCAATCTATAATTAATCTTGTTGGACATTTTTATATTAAATACTATTGCTTCTGAATGGTGTTTGCACAAGTTTGAAAACGTTTTGTTGTAATATAAATGCCCTAAAAATACATTAATAAAAGGTGTTACATTACTTAGGTATAGTTTTATAAAACTGGTAAAACTAAAACATTGCCAAAAAAAAAAAAAATTTTTATTTTCTTTTTTTTTAAAAATATTATTTTGTTAATCTGAGCAAGAATATAATGTATATTATATAATAGTACAAAAAAACCTTGTAAAATTTGCAAAATTCGCGAATAATTGGTGTAAAGTTACCTAAAATATGAGCTGGAATGGTGACTTCCCCCAAAGTAAACTCTTTAAATTTTATAGCAAACGAAAAAAATTTTTTTTTTGTGACATATTCACGTTTGTCATTATTGATTGGTAAATTATGGTTGCATTAAGCATGACTTATGTAGGACAAATCGGAGTTGAAATGTGCCGATCAACGTCATTCATATAAGAACTTGCGACGGATCTACTAATCAATTTGAGTGGCGGATTGGCAATTAAAAATAAAAAAAAACAAAGATCAAAAATTAGTACTATTACGAACAATGACAATTGCGCCATGAGTATTAATCAAAAATTCATAAAATTTAAAATACAAATATTTTCGACATTGCTGAACATTTTATACTTAATTTACAAAGTTGATTTGCTTAGAGCCAAAGTGCCGAAATTACGCTTTGAAGTTTAGCTCAGGTGTATAAAACATAAACACTAATTACGCCATAAGCATCTATCAAAATTCATGATAATTAAGATGTGAGTAGATTCGACAATGCTGAACAATTTTCACTTAATTTATTAAGACGATTTACTTAGATCAAAAGTGCCAAAAATACGCTCTGAAGTTGTTGATCAGGTGTAAAAAAATTTAAAGATCGAAAATTAGTACTGTTACGAATAATGACAGTTGCGTCATGGGTATTAATAAAAATTAAAATACAAGTATTTTCGACCTTACCGAACATTTTTCACTTAATTTACAAAGTCGATTTACTTAGGTCCAAAGTGCCGAAATACGCTCTGAAGTTGCTGAATGGAAATTAAAGTTAGTTTAATTATAAAAATTAAAGTAGTTACTCCAGTATTATTAATAAACTTACAAAATTTGAGGTTTAGGTAGTTTTGATCTTGCTGAACAATATTCACTTAATTTACAAAGGTGATTTACTTAGAACTAAAATGGAGAAATTATGCTCCAAAAGTTTAATAATATTAAGAAATAATGTAATTTTTCTATATTTTCGTATTTTATGTAAAACCTACCCAAATAACCTCCATTACAAGCTTAGAAAATCTTTTTCTACTCATAAAATTGCATATATTTTTGCTTTTAAAACTGCATATTTTTTTATACTTCAACTTCAATCTTGAAAAAAGTGCGTTTTTAAGGGGAGTTTTTTGTGAATTATAAAAAAAAAAATTGTTATTAAAGATCGGAAAATAAGGATAGAAATTGATAGAACACATGATAATCTATTAATTTTTTAACTTGTATAAATATAGTATATTGGAATTTAGCATTTAACTATAAAATAACATAATTTGCTCAATGTTACACAAAATAATTTTAATATGAAAATGATCTGCATGTGACATTTCCAGTGACTTTTCATGATTTTGAAATTTCGAATTTTTCCTTCTTTTGATCTTCAAATTCCCTTCTTAAAATGTGATTTTAGTTCCTCCTCCCAAATCTAATTATATATTGTTTCACAAGTCCCTTATTCTCTTTAACGTCATCTCGGAAGTTACATTTGTAATATTACACAATTCTAATCATTATAATTTTATACACTAATTCTAAACATATTAATACTACGCCCCATAATTAATAAATTTTCTAACCAGCTATAGTAAAAACGATTCGATAAACCGGATATGTGATCATGAACCAATAAAATTTAAGTAACGTGATGCGGTAAAAACTTAATTTTGGCCTGAATTATAAAAATCTTAATTCTGGCTGAAGTTATATATTACTTATATATTCAATTAAAAATATTTTATATTCATTTTCATGACCTCTATGACTTAAACTAAGATAAAAAAATTAAAATATAGTGTATATTAGTTTTATTAGCATGAAAAATTTTTATAAAAATTCAGTATAATAGATTTTCAATATGTCGAAATTTTTTCGTTATACCGGATATCCCGATAAGCCGGATATTTTTAGTGGAACCGATAGATCTGGTTTATCGAATTTCACTGTGTAGATGAATTTTATTAAAGATAAAAAACACTCATGATGAGATGATGATCCGGAATTATTAAATTTCTCCTGTTGAGTGGCGATCACGTTTCTTCTAGCGCTCATAATCTTTTATCTATTTCTATCATTTCTTTTTGTTCACTAATATCATTAAACATATTTTCAAATCCTCCCATCCTTTATGACCTATATAATACTTATATACGTTAGAACAATAGAAAAAATAATAACAAAAACTCCTTTTTTTTTATTGGCATTAATTATTAACAATTAATAAATAAAAGTTCAACAAAATGTATAAATTTATTTAACAATAAGAAAAAAAAATCATACAATCAAAACAAGTTTTATTTTCGGTAACCGAAAATAAAAAAACTAATCATATCGGCTGATCAGAAAAGCCTCCCATAATTTTATATGCTAAATGACAATAAGTAACCCATCAGTTATATAATGAACCCATCAACTGAGCTTAAATATTAATTGGCTTGATTTTTCCAATCAGCCGATATGTTATAAAAAAAAAAAAAATTTATTCTTCGATTTGAACTGAAAAATAAANAGAACCGGTAAAAAGAAAGCCGATTGGATGAAAATGAAATATCTATCATCAACACATGAAACACATGATCTGACATCTAATCACCATAATAAATATGGAATAGATCGGGCGCAAAAAATCACGCGTTTTCGTGTTATACGATTAATTATTTATACAAAGGGTAATCTAATATATAAAAATAAATAAATAAACTTATTCTTTTTTTAAAATAGCGGTAATAGTGACATATACAATTTTAATCGAGAAGAAAAATGATAGCGTTCGTAAACGTACTGTATTAGCTTTAATGTAACACTAGATAATATGTAAATGATAGGGCGTTTTTGTAATATGAGGTGGTCAAATAGTCAATAAAGAATTTTTTTTTAAAAAGAAAAAAAAAAAAAGAACAAAGAATTTTTTTTTTTTAAAAAAAAAAAAAAAAACATCTTGCAGTAATTTTTTTTTTTTATCTTTTTTTTATCTGACTTTTGCTCCTGCATTCGTTTTATAATATAACTCAAACTTTTTAAAAAAAAATAATAGCGACATTTTAAATTAATAATTATTGTAATGAAACATTATCTGTAATTTCCCCAAAAATTAAAACCTTCAAGATTGATAATTTTAAGCCTTTTTTTTCAGATTTTAAATTACTTTCCTATCATTCATGAAGTCACATTCATAATCCATTCAGGCAATTCCCAATTAGGCTACGATACGCAACCTGCAATTTCCCCCAAAAAATAAGCCTCAAAAATTGATTACATAATTTAATTAATTAAAATTGTTATTATTCTTTTAAATCCAAAAATGTAAATGTACAATGATCATCGTACACAATAGTCGCATCTGTAATACATTTAGACAATAAAAAAAAACAATGATACTATTATGGCAGCATTATTAGATTACTATTGTTGTAAGATCTACTTAGAATTATTTATTACACAAAAGATTATTGTACGTAATAATCGCATGAAGTCATGGCACACTTCTTATTATGGTTAGATTATTCATTGTTGACATAATTTCCCGCCGACAATGATACCGTCTGGTGATGCAATTTTAATGTAAACAATAAAATTGTTGGAATCTCATTTTATTTATCGTCATTATTTACAAATAATATTTGTTTGTTTTCCTCGTCCTAAAAACTATTTTATAAATACATACTAAAATATTTTATATGGAACATATAAAAAAAGCTAATATATTCCGGAATAGGGATCCAGTCGAGAGGGCTGCAATTCAAAAATTTTTAGCTATATTAAAATCGAAGAAATTGAAAGAAACGGAATTACTATCTAACCAACAAGCGTTATTCCAACAATTTAAGTTAAATCATGGATTATTCTTGAATGGTTGTAGGATAGAACCAAGTAAACAAGCTGTATTAATTGAAGGTGACAAATGGAATATTAATTTATATGAGGGTCAACCTTTTGTGTATACTTCCGTAAACGATCACACCTCTCATGTAAATTTATTGAGTTTTAATTCTGACGATGACGACGTTGAACTTGACGAATCTCTACAACCATCAGATTTATGTATTAATTTTCCCGTTATCGAAATTACTTATACTGCCGATTTATCAAAATCTTTTTCAAATTTTATAAATGACGATGAAGGAAAATTATACGGTCATCTACTTCCAAGAAAGATTTTAATTGGTGGAAAATTATTTATCCGTGACCTTAAATCGGCTACTTGTACACAAATCGACATTTTTAGCTCTTACTTAAATTGGGCATATGATTTAACAAAATCCAAAAAAGAAATTCCATTTGATAATTTATCCGCCTTGAATTTTTTTCCAAAAATATTAACACCAGACGGAACAAATTTGGACACTCATGAAAAATTATCCGATTGGATGAATAATTTATACCAAAATGATACGGTTGAAATAATTTCTTATAATAACCTCGTTCCAATTTCTCAATTAAAATTCGATAAAATATCATTTGTAGATGAAATACAACCTGGAGTTGCTAATTTTAAAGAGAAATTAACTTTAGAAAATTGGGTTAAAAATTCAAAATACGCAAGATGGGTTGAAGAATTTCAACTTCGAGGTTTAATAATTAATCAAAATTTGGAATTAAGAACTAGCAAGGAAAATGCTATTGATTTAATTAATATTCCTAATGTGGAATCAAGTGATAAATTTTATTTAAGAATAATGAAACCGACGACTATCTTAGAAGAAGTTTTAATACATAACAACATCTTTTTAGCTAATAGCGATGAAGATATAAGCTCTTTTCCGTTTATTAAAATATCGGATGGTCTAAGTCATGAAGATTATGCACATTTTCTGGTAAAGTGTGAACAATATGAAGTTCTGTTAACTATGGATAATATTAAACCTTCAGAAAAATTTAAACAAGCTGTAGAAAAAGCACTCGAAAATATGAAACCACTCATACGTTTGCAAGAAGTTTTTGACGAATATGGTCATCTTATTCCATTAAATATCGTATTAGGAAAATCTCTTAAAAATACAATAGAAAATTCACACTACATTTCGACAAAGATTAATTTAGAACCGCCAGTATTCGAATCTTTAAAATCACATTTAGCAGATTTCAGTATTCCGTGTCTTTTAACGCCAAAAGGAGATGATATTATTGAAGAAAATGGTTTATCTGAATGGGTTCAAAATATGAATAATGACTTAGAAATTATTGAATTTAATAATATAATTCCTTTATATGATATTCTTGAAGTAGATCAAAAGAAGAAAATAGATATAATTTTAAATAAAGAAAATAATTTTAAGATTATAATGACCGGAAGTATTGATTTAAAGGATACAAATATTACCAAGCAGATAATTGTAAGTATAGAACCATCATTAGAAAATAAAAATTACGAGGTTTTTGGATCAATTATCTCAAAATCTAACTCAAGATTGAAAGATATATTCGTTACATTTGGATCATATGAAATTAATAAATTTACTGCGACGATAAGTACTTCAAAGAATACAAGTATAAATATAAAGGAATGTTATATCATATGGATGATGATTGGAAATCCTTCAAAATTATCAGTATTTAGTCCGAATAATCGAAAAGTACAAGTTGATTGTATCAAGGAATCTATTAAATTACAACGAAACAATTCTTCCTATTCAATTAAAACTTCTCACCAGTTATCTCAAGGATATGATATCTCTTTTAATTGTTTTAAGCCTATAAATATTGAGCTAACCGGATGGTCAAAGAATTGTGTTTATTTGAATATTACAAATACAATGATGAATAATAGAAATGTTAAACCTGATATAGATAATGTTGAAATAGCTATTTGTGTTTTAAATTCAGGTCATGAAAAATCAAAGATTGATATTAGCGGAAAAAGGTATTCTATGGGATATATTTTAACTGAAAAAAATTATTTAGATTCTATATCAAACGCACAAAAATATTTAAGAAATACTTATCCAACAAAAAAAGAAAGAGAAAAAGTAACAAGGTTAATTATTAATAAGAAAAAGTTAGAATATCATTTGGATTTATCAGACTTTGTTAATTTAGAGAAATTAAATTGTTCTGAAAATGAATTAACTAGTCTAGATATTAGTAAAAATAAGCAGTTAACTGAGATTGATTGTTCTCAAAACAAATTAATTAGTTTAGATTTAAGTAATTGTTTAAATATTAAATTAGTCACAGCTAATTGCAATCAACTTAATGAATTGAAATTACCTGTTTCAAATGATTTAAAATTAGAATATTTAAATTTACTTGATAATTCATTTTCTCAAAATTTAGATTGTTTTAACCAGTTATTTAATTTAAAGGAATTACTTATAGGAAATATTGATGGAGATAGAATTCAACTAGGCATATATAACCAATTTCATGGTAGTTTGAAACCTTTAAAAAATTTAATTAAATTAGAGAGTTTAAGTATTAATAATACTGATATAGAATTTGGTTTGGAATTCTTACCTGATAGTATTAAAAATTTTCGATGCTTAGCAGATCAAAGAGCAGAAGCTAAAGTGAAAAAAATATATGAACAACTTGAGGAATATACATTGAGTCCTATTGAAGCTTTTCAAGGTAAATATAATTTGAAAGCATGGAGAAAAAATTGGAAATTAGTTAAAGAAAAGGAAGCGCTCCAAAATCAGTTTAAACAAGTTGAAGAGTTAACATCTAGCGCTAAACTTAAAGAATTTGAAAAAGAAGAAAGTAGTTTGATCGCAGAAGAGGAGGACTTGTTAGTAAAAAATAAGTCTCTGGAGCAAGAAAGGAAAAATTTGGAGCAAGAAACAGATGATTTGAAACAGCTGGTCAAGGAACTAAATGCCAAATTGGAACAGAAAGAGGTTGATTATCAGCAAGCCAAGCAGCAATTAGAAGAAAAAGAAGAAATGCTAAAATCCTTCACTGAGGAAAAGCTAGAAAATTTTACTACTGAAAAATTAATGGTAAAAGAAGAATTGAATAAAGAAATAAAAGTCTTAAAATATGAACTATTGATCAAAGAGAGGGATACAGAACAATCGAAAAAACATCTGGAAGAAATGAATAAGGAGTTAAAAATTAAAGAGGAAGAATGTGACAACTTGAGAAATAAATTAGATAATATTAAATCATCATTAACTGAAATAAAAAATAAAAAAGAAAAATTAAATGATCTTAAAAAAAAATTAGAGTACAAAAAAAATTTTTCTAAATCTGGTACATCTGGACTGAGAAAGCAAATGAATGATTTGAAAAGAGAAATACATTCGTTACAAAGTCAAGCAATAAAAGCTAGGGAAATAGAAAATGAACTTGAAGAGGTCAAGAGAAACAAGAATAGACTTCAAAATGAGAAAGTTCAACAACAAAGCATTGTGGAATATCTTCAGAAAGAACAGACAATTTTACGAGATAATATTAAAAACCTTGATACCAAATTAAGAGATAAAGTAGGTTTTATTAATAATCTTGAGCAACAAAGTAGTCAACAAATTGAGGAATTACAAAGTAAATTGGATGAAGAAATTAGAAAATATCAAATTTCACAAGAGATTAATACTTCCCTCAATGACGAATTAAAAAATAAAGAGAAAATTATTAAGGAATCGCAAAATAAGCTGAATGAAGAAACAAGAAAATATCAAGATTCTCTGGATAAATTAAAAAATAAAGAGGAACTTAATAAGGAATTAGAAAGTAAATTGGATGAAGGAATCAGAAAATATCAAGTTTCACAAGAGATTATTACTTCCCTAAATAACGAATTAAAAAATAAAGAGAAAATTATTGAGAAATCGCAAAATAAGCTGAATGAAGAAATTAGAAAATATCAAGATTCTCTGGACAAATTAAAAAATAATGAGGAATTTATTAAGGAATTACAAATTAGATTGGATAAAGAAGTCAAAAAAGATCAAGCTTTCCAGAAGATTATTACTTCCCTCAATAGCGAATTAAAAAATAAAGAGAAAATTATTAAGGAATCGCAAAATAAGCTGAATGAAGAAATTGAGATTATTACTTCCTTCAATAGCGAATTAAAAAATAAAGAGAATATTATTGAGGAATTACTTTTCAGAAACTTTTAAAATCGAAACTATATCGTGACTATATCAAAACTTTATCATAGAACTTATCGTAAAGATTTAGTTGACCAAATCTTGATTATAAGTTTACGCGGATCAATATGTATATAGTTGATGCATATTAAAGAAATCATCACCTGATTTAACCAGATTTGTACAAAAATAGTATTGAAATCGAAAACATATAGTAAATGTATATTTAAATTATAGTAAATAAATATTAAAGTTGTAATAAATTTATTTTAAAAAGTTGAAAAATGTACTATAAACTTTATTTTATAAATCTTAAAATTTCTATTATAAGTCTAATCATACGCATTATTCTAATCTATAAATAAAACTAAATTGTTCAATATGCCCTTTTAACACTATTAATAACATTTTTTAAAGAAGTTTTAAAATTCTTGAAACTTACTAGAATTTTGGTATTCTTATGTATGTAGGGATCCATTCCTCTAAAATAATAAATAAATAAATAAAGGTTATTAAAATGTTTTTTAAAAGAAAGTTTTTAAAGTACTCCGGTTCCGGTAACAAAGGCGGAGCTGGTGTCTTATGAACAAAAATGTTATTGAAACATCTTTTCAAATTTAGCTTCAAATTTTATTTTAAAACTCGCATTCGTCCTTCATAATTCCATATAAATGAATAATATTATTATGAATAACCACTTCTCGTTGAAGTTTAAGCTAAAAAACAAATAAAATATTTAAATTAATATAATGAGTAAAAAATATCTCATCGAAAATAGTGGATGAGGGGCCGGATTCTTACAAAATTTTGAAAACTATCCAGGTTTGAAGGTTTCCTACAAAAAAACGGTATTAACACGTTTTTAAAAGAGTAAAAATTAGTTTCAAAATTGTTTTTGAAACTCACTTGGATTCTGGTATCTAGGCGAGGCCAGATTTCCTACAAAATTAACTGAAAGTTAATTGATGCATTTATTAAAAAAGCTTTTGAAGTCTTTCAAAAACATTACCTAAGGGATCAGTGTTCAAACTTCAGAGCTAGTTCCCTATAGATCTGAAGTAATAACCGTCATTCTAAAAAAAAAAAAAAAAAGAAATGTTAGTTTAGTATTGTTTCGTACTTTACTTTTGTTAAAAAAATAAATATATTGAAAAATGCACCTATTGAAATACTTAAATTCCATTCATTTTTAAGTCAAAACGAAGACAAAGCCTAAGAAAAAAGAAAAGAACAAAACAAATAAAAATCACCTTAATTTCGCAAAAAAGGTGCTAAAACCTAAAAAAGAAGTATTGATATCTAAAATAGAAAAGGAAAACAATTGTTAATAATGAAGACAAAAGGAAACAATAAAACAAAAATAAAATCAAAAGACCTACTTTTATTATTGAAAGAATCGGAAACCTAAAAAAGAAAATCCAAAAGAGCTGTCAAAATTTAAGATGCAAAAAAATAAAAGGTAAATGTTAATAACAAAGTCAAAGGAAATAAAAAAAGGACACCCATTTCTAGTGAACAATATACACTTACCCTATTTGCGGAACAAGATAGGAGGATGTGAAACAAAAAAATGTTCAACTTATCGCCCAAAAGAACTTGGATCGAGGGTGGTAAGAATCAGAAAATTCTAAAAGAAAAGAAAAACCAGAAAAAGCTTAGTAAAGTTCGTTAAAATAAAATCACTAAAGAAAAAAGTTTAAAAACTTACCAAAATTTCGCGTCCAAGTGGACTGAAAGAACCACTTAAAAAAAAAATAAAAAATAGGGATTTTTTCAACAGAAAGTATGAAAAAGTGAGAAGGGAGAAAGAAAAAAATGAAAGAAAAAGGAAAGGTAAAAGAGAAAAGAAAGGAAATATAAGAATAAAGAAAATGAAAAAAATGAAGACGAGAAGTGGTTTAAAAAAAGTTATTTTTATATTAACTAAATCGATTTATAATATCACGTGTATCACATGATACATAAGACCATTTTTCCTGATGTTAAAAATTTATCGTTAATAAAATAAATTGGCAGATTTACAAAGCCATCATGTACGGGAAGATATTAAGACCACATGGTTCTTCGTATATATTATTATACTTTAATAATGAAAATAAGATGATAGGAGTGATATACAAATCAGCAATGGAAGAAATAGGACAGATAAAGATCCAAAAAGAATTGTTTGGAAAAAATAATAAATACATTTTTAATGGACTGAAGAAAAAAAACTGTGCAGTGTCAACAATTACCATGTCATTACAACTGTCGATTGACATTTCGGATGGCGATGAGTTATATTTTTGACGTGACGGATTATATGGAGTTGGAGAAGAAGATGCCAGCGCCCACGCCTGCACTATCATCTTCAAATAAAACTGGAAGTAAGGAGAAAATTGATGAATTTACAAATTTAAACGAAGATTTCAGTAAAAGATTGCCGTTACAACCTTTACTATCAACAATATCAAAGAAAGACAAACTAAGTTTGGATGATTTGGACGAGGAGTTAGATAATAATAAGAAAAAATGAGAGAAAAGAAAGAACAATCACATGGTAGTGTGGAATCGGAATAAAATACTGGTATAAAATAATTAGATTGCAAGTTATTAGTTGATAAAATTAATATAAAATACACAAAGTATTAGTATTCTCATTCAAGACAAAAATTTATTAACTTTTTCAAATAGTTTTAGTATCTTATAGCAAATTGTATTTTATTTTATTTTTCTTATTTGGGCGATATAGGCATAGTTTCGAGTCTAGACTGTTTAGTTATAGGGTTATTCAATTTTTCATTATTTACCTCTATATTTCGACAATCTATGTTAACATGATTTACTTAAATAAAGAAATGCGTTACTAAATTAAAAAATAAATAAATAAATATCGTTAAATAATATTTAATGCATCTAATAAATATCTTGGATTAATTTTCGCTGCTAATTCCCGATGCTATTCACCATCTATTTACTATCTTTTAACATGTTATCGTCAATGATTTCACGAAATCATCTGACACTACATTGTCACGTGTTAGATACTGAACCGTTGTGATTTGGTGGCGACATCTCACGAGTTTCTGCAAAGGCTGTTCTCCTTCGATACTTCGATTTAAATATTTTTGTGTGCATATCATAATATTCTCTTAATCTCCTTTATACATAATTACTAACTCTTTTCTTACCTTTATTCCATAACCAATCTTATCAAATTTTGATTCAGCAAAAGCTTCTCTGGCTATCCTTTATATAATTCAAATGCTTTGATTTTTTTCAGTCCTAATTTCATATATAAAAAATTTTAATAGTTTATTTATGTGTTATTATTGTCAAAAAATAAAATAGTATGTTATTTTAATGAAATTCCTTTTCGTATAGCATCTTCGTAAAATAATAACAATACGTATTCGGTTAATATATAATTTAATGAATACAGTATGATGCATATCTGGTGTCTGAGCTGTCTAGCATCCTAAAAAAAATAAATAAATCATTATTATTATATATTCTTATTAAATTTCAATAAAGCAAATAAAATTCTAAACTGTATTATATATTATTTTATGATATAGCATTCTAATAGTATGATAGTTCGTCAAACAAACAAATTTTGGTCTTTCACATAAGATGGCTGAAGTATCCAATACTCCCAAGAATATAATTGAATAATTACCTACAATATTAATATGAATCATAATTATAAGCGAATATGAAATCGGATGTTGACATACTTGACATAGTACTTACTCTTATGGTAAATTAAGACCTTTAATCTAGTTTATTCATTTTTTTTTATTAAAAGAGCTTTGGATATTTGAATACGGTGAGAAAAATTAATAGTTTACTACTTATCGGAAAATATCCTTTTATTATTTGATAAGGATACGATTCAAACAAATGATCTTATTTTTTTGCGATTATCTACGAAGGAAAAGTATATAATAACACGTGTATCTTGTGCGTAAGTCGATTATGCGAATCAGATCAGAGTTCGTGAAGGAACTTGGCTAATCCATTAATAATAAATTTTTGACTTGGTCTTTAGACCATAAAATCATTTTATTCACTATATTTATCGAAAAATCATTGTGTTACAAATAGAGAATATATAATAAAACTGTTTATTGTTTTTGAATTATTATGAGAAGGCGTATAACTTTATTTATCTAGCAGTAAAAAAGTGATGTCCAGAATTGTTTTGAAAAGTCCAATTTAGTTAATAGAGGAATTCCTATACAAGGGGGAACTTTACTGACGCGCAAAAAATTTTTTTTTTTAAATTTTTTTTTTTTTTTTTTTGAGTAATTTATTATTTGATCCAGATCATATTATAATAAGAAATATTTTCAGAATTTCCAACTGATATTTTTAATTTTCCTAAACTTTCTACTAACAGAATAAGATTTTTTTATAATTCGATCATTATTTGACTTAAGTTCAAACAACTTTTATCAACATTCCTCAGCAATTTCAGTCCAATTTGCAATTACTAACTTCTTTCTTAATTCCATTAAAAGTCATGGTCCCATTATTATATTTCGATAGATGGATTGTTGTATAAGAAAAATAAAGAAAGCCCTGCTCGACTTTTACGTGTATTAAAGACATCTATAATCTAATTACGTGATTTATTCCTTTTTTTTTTTGTTAAGTTATTGAATGACTTTATTAAGTGACTTGTAAACCTACAAAAATGACAATACAAGATTGACCATCCGCTGGCAAATGTGGAACATTAACATAAATTTAAAATCTAAAATGAAAAAAGAAAATAAACCTAAAAACACTCTCCAAATTCTTGTATCAAAATTCTATATATCAACTAATTCACATACACGAAAGGTATCGCAATCAATCATTTCCAATCAGACTGAGTATTGTTTTAAATATAATATATATTATTTTCATCAATAATTTCATTTAAAGTTAATTCTTTAAGTACTATTTCGGCAAACCCATTATAGCCAATATTATCATTAATGTTATTTTCATGATAATTTTTTTTGAAAACAATGGGTTTCAACAGTAAATTTAAATTTATCTTGACGAACTATCATATTGATTCATAAGTTATCCGTAATTTAAACAGACTATGAGGCATTATAATTTTAGTTATATCTGATAATAACGTTGTAATCTGTAGGTTAGACATTCTGTAGGTTAGGGTTTTTTTTTTTAAAAAAAAAAAACTGAAAAGTTCGAGATAATGATGCCTCCAAAATTGAGCGTCCTCACGGTTTGGCTTGAGTTTGAGCCAGCCAATCAACGATTTCAGGTCAGATGATTTGTCACACAATTGCGTTTAATCGATATAAATTAAAAAATTTTCACAATTCCAATAATAATTGGCTTCGAGAATATATTTGGTGTTGGAGGATTTGGTAATGTTTATCGAGCTAACTGGAAATGTTTAAATACCGTTGTTGCATTAAAATCTTTGATAATATTATGAAGTCGTTAATGAGGTATTTATTGTTATCCCACAGAACGCTGTTTTATTACATTTTAATTATTACCACTTATTAATAGTTAGCTAAATATATATTTATTTTTTTGTAGATAAAATTAATGCATAGAATTAATTTTCACGAAAATATCAAATTAGATTTTAATATTAAGCCACAATTTGCAATTCAAATTGCTGATGCTGTCTCATGTATACATCAAAAAAGATATTACTCATAATAATCTCGTAAAGTATTTTATTTATTTTGATTTTTTTTTAATTAGTTCAGTATATTAACCTTTAATTAATATTTCTAGCATTCTAATAATATATTGGTCCATCAAAATAATGCCATATTAACAGTCTTTGGTCTTTCATCAAATCCTGTCAAGGACGTGTTTTTGAATTGTATTTTATATTGATTCGCGACGTTTTAAGAGCAATAAACGACAATAATAATTATATAGAAAATGAGAAATCAGATGTGTGTAGTGTTGGTGTGCTCCTATGGGAAATGTCATCTGGACGACAACCATTTGAATCTTACGATAATATTCATGATGAAGTAGTATTAACATTATTACTAATGTTAAATGGAAAAGTTAAACTTCAATTTTGATACACCAGCTGATTACATTATTAATATACAAGTATGAAATATTTTATTATTTTGTGATTAACGTTTGTTTTGCTTTTTATTTAAATATTAATTTTAAAAATTTTAAAAGATAATCAAAAGATTCGACAAGTTTTCTGAATTAAACTAGTTAATTTGAATACTTCAGAATTGGTAGAAAAATGTGAGGGTGAAGCTTGTGATAAAGCGCATTGGGCGAAACGAAAAATGTGTAGCGTCGAAATTATTTAATTTAAAAGATGATGCTATTACTAAAGAAATTCTACACGAGGTAAGTAACTAAGAGTATTTGTATTTTATTCGAAATTAAGAATAATTTGACATAACATTCATTATAGACAAAATTACATCGGGAAATTGACTATAATAATCTGATGATAAAATTGTTCGGGATAACTAAGATAATTCAGGTAAATTATTTTTAAAAAAAAGTTTGGAAATATTACAGTACACACAATTGTTAGCTGGATAGATACGAATTAGCTCTTCAATTATCAAATATTTGCATGAAAGAGAAATGATTTACATCAAACAGTATACCTATACAACAGAATTCCGTAAGATTATCATTTATCAGATTCTGGGTTAAAGTATAAACATATCGTCGAACTTTTTTAAATTCGATACAATTCTTTAATCTTGATAACTCGTGGATCAGTAATCAGTATAATGAAAAGTCGCTGGATGCACTTGAAGGCAAATAGAAAAATTTGATAGAATAAGAAAAGCGATACTACTTATAGCTTTAGAGCGCTATTTGGGCTATCAATCATAATTGGTCAGAGGTAAATCGTATCGCGAGTTAAAAATATTAAAAATATTCGTAAGTGATGAATTTAAGTGATGAATTTAATGTATATGATAGAATAAATTTAAAGGATAAATAGTATAAAAACAAATTTTATTATTTTTTTTTTTTTTAAAAAAAAATTGTTTTAAAACAAAAAAAAATAAAAATATAATAATAAAATTTCATTTATTTAAATAAATAATTTTTAATTTGATTACCAAATTTCGAAATGGTAAAGAAATTTTTAGCATAGATATAAAACACTCTTTACACATCACTTCAACAAACCTATTGCGACTCCTTCAGTTAATTCCACACAGTTATTCTTCGAACAACAGCTTCTTTTTGTTGGATTGGCCGTACAAATTCTATTATTGATTCGCGATCTTCATGTATTTCATCCTGAAACATTTCCATATATCAATAGTTAATAATTTAACGCAAAAGATATCTGCACGATAGTAAATATCATTGATCTTGCAACAGAAGTGATGGATAAACATGATGCACTTTTACCTTTTTCAATTTGACCCATTATAGCACAAGCCTCCTTATCAAGCAAATATAGAAGAGGGAAGGGGAACTTATGAATTTTCTCAATAATATCATTACCCATATCATAAGCAGGTAGTTTCTTCGTACAAAACACAGGTAGAATGCTGAACAATTGTCGATTGGTGAATTTGATCAGCGTTGTTCAACAGATAGAAATTAACATACACTTCAGTCGGATATCAATAAGTTTATCGCTTAATAGAATAAACGATTAATTTGGCTGAATCATATGCCACAGTTAGAAGATTTAAACATATCGGCTTGCGTTGAAGTGGTTGGTTTAAATCATCAATAAATGTTCTACCACCAATTAAAACTCTTCTATGAATAAACGACCATTTGTTTTACATAATGTTCCTCCATCAGTTCAGAAATGATTTTGACAAATCAGCGGTATAAGTAATTTCAGCATCAGGAAAATTGATGCATATATCTGATGGTTCTAAAGCTTCGTTAATTTAAATCCCATTATTATTAGAATTAAAACTTAATAAATTTTGTTGTGAGATCCAATCATTTAAAAAGTATACACTTATATATAAACTTACAATCAATATACCATCTCCAAAAGTACGCTCGCTTACTGGTTATACCATTCCCGTGATTTAGCTTAAGATTTTGAATTATTTGTCGTGATACCAGTAAAGTATTAACAATCTCTTGAGTATCCAACACTCTAAATAAATAAGTAAAAAATATTATTTTATTCATTGCCGCGTCTGTTGATACTTTTTGTGGGTAGTACATCTATATAAATTGGTATCACCATTACCAATGAATCAAAAACGTAGTCATTACTTACTTGAATAAAGATCAGAATATCCATCAAGTGCTCCTTCTATTACTTCAGTTAATCCTTGCGCAATTCTCTCGGCCAAAAATGAATCAAATCCTTATACCGGCAAAAAGTTTTGACCCGATAAACAATTACCAAAGTAACGCTCTAATACTGTATACATCGCTTTTCTTTAACTTTTCCAATCGCTTATCCTTTCCTGATGAATTTATTCCTTCCAAATTTTTTCCTATAATACCAAATATTTCTGGATCGATACAAAGAATTGTATTAAATTTATTCAATGAAATTTGGCCAGCATTCCTAGTCTACCTAACCCAAAGTCCGCATAGTTTGATCGAATTTTGATGAACAAATTTGAATGAAATCTTTGTGTACAATTTCCGTATTTATCTTCCAGATTCGCTTCCAAATAATTACGAAGTGTGTTTCCTGCTTATCAATAAATATTCTTTATCTAAAAATTTTAAAGTCATTTTTTAATAATTTTAAAAAATGTCTGCACAACACCCCAGGAACACGTCAAGTATGCTATAAGATTGACTATTATATAATACACGGTCTTCAACTAAGCCGCGTTCCGTAGTAACTTCAAACATAAAAAAAAAATATCTACCTGAATCGTTTTTTAGTTATTCCGTAAACTTTTATCAACATATCGTTAAAGTTAACTTCGTTATATAGTATTATCTAAAATAGAATATTTTTTTAGTACAGGCGAAATTTGATTCACGTTTCTTCTTCAGACACGAACTTCGCTTCAACACTAAGCAATTTCCAATTTGTTTTCAATTCGTCCTATGCACATTGCCAACTAACCCACCGCCTATCTCTTCCACTTTATTAAATTCTTAACACATTGTTCTAGTGCATCAGTAATGATGTAGAAATATATGAAATCTATTTTTGGCGTGAAAGGAACAATAAATAAATGTTGTATCACCGCAGAACTTGTTGTTCCGGTCTTTCTTGATATTATACCGACATAATTCTGGTCAAAATTAGCATAATTCGGGCTGGAGGGCATTTTTTTCAGGGGGTGTTCATTTTAGTATGCTACAGCGTAACAATTATAAATTTTGTGTCCGAATTTATTTATTTACTTGGTTTTTTTTTTTTTTAAAAAAAAAAAAATATATTATTGTCAGTCATGGCTTTTGCCTTTAGAAGTTATTTTAGTTATTTTTCTAAAAAGGTTAGTAATGTTGTGGTGGTACGTATAGACCAAAAAGCGTCGCAACCATGTAATATTGTTCATTTTAATCTTTTGGATGACTTATCAAAAGTGCGACTACAACTCGAAAAAAGAGAAATGATCGATTCTACATTATCATTTGCAAGAAAGTTTATTGAAAATGGTAATAGTAAATTTGCAGAAATAGAGTTTGAGGATGAAGAGGATATTCTTTTAGATAAAATCGTGCATCAAAGTGAAGAAAGTGAAGATACTTTCATTTTAAATTTGATGACATGTTCAAGATTTAATTGGAAGATTCTGAACAAATTACATAAATTAGATTACGGACGTACCATGACTTCTGATGGAATTAAGAGAGCAGATAAGAGAGCGTTTGAAATGAAAAATTGTATATTGGAAATTGGTAATAAAGAATGCGAAACAGGAATATTCACATCTGAGTCAAGTGAAGATTTGATGATGGATAAAAATTTATTTTTTAATACTGATATTAATATACGGTATTTCGTGAAGTTGGGAATAGGGGTGTCATTCGGAACGTCAAAAAGTAAAGAATCTTGCGTTGAAACTAATTACTATTATCGTTTTATAAAGTATGGTAAAGCATCATTGAAATTGAAATATGAGCATTTAGAACCAACACCGGAATTTATTAAAGTAATTGAAAATGCCATAAGTTCTGAAGATCCTGCCGAACAATTTAAGCAAATTCTTAAAGATTTCGGTCAATTTATTCCAACCGACGTTATTTTAGGTGGAAGAGTTCATTATGATGATTTTACGAAATCAGTTAACGAATTTAGTAGAAATATAAATATAGGAGATCTGAAAGGAGAATTAGGTAAAGGTTCTACTAATTCAGAAGAAAATTCAAATAATTATAGTCGTAGATATACAAAAGTAATTGGAGGCGAGCAACCTGATAATATTGAAAATTTAGATATAGGAAATTGGGTTAGTTCATTAAATAAGAGTTATGAAAATTGGGATTGTATAGAATTTCGCGATCCGATTATTATTTTTCAGCTTTTACCTGAAAATTTGCGTAAACGAATCATTAAGTCTGTTGGAATGAAGATTCATTATTTAACTACTGAAAATCATAATTGTGTTTTGGAAGAAGTTAGAAAGCCAATACAATATAATTTGAATATACCATCTCACGTCAAAAATATTATTAAAGACAAAGATACAGATTGTAAAATTTTTGCAACCGTTACGGATATAATGAAATCAAAGAATGACTTTTTTACTTGTCAAATCCTTTGTCCATCAAATGGAAAACCACCGAGTCTTATAATTCATCGTGTACAAAGCTCGTTTAACATCTTTAAAAAGCGTGAATGTAAATTAAAAATTAGGTGGATGGTAATCGGATATTATAGAGATTTAAATTTTGATTTTAATACTCGATTCAAGGTCCAGAAAAATGATTTTAATGCACCAGATACAGATAATCTAATTGAATATAATTCAAAAGTCCCAATTTGTTTAGGAACTCCTGTATTAAACGAATATCCTAAAAATGAATCTCTTATTATCGGATATTATTATTATGTTCAAGAAGAGATGAATAAAATTAAGGCATGCACATTCGCTTATTGTTTAGAGGAACGACGTCTACTTTTAAATTTGCCTAAATTTACATTTTATACACTTATAATTACAAATTATCATAACAATGGTATTTGTGATTTAATTACGCTTAGAAAAAAAGGATATAGTAATTTTAATAGTGAATCACCAAAATTTGTTAGCATATATTCTGCAGAACAAACTGATTGTGTTTTTTTGAAACAAAGAAATGGGCAAATTAAAATTAAGAAAATTGGTAATGATAAAACAAATTTATCATATAAGTGTGCAATCTTTGATCCATATACCAGGTATTTGTTATTATTCTTGTTTTAATTTTTCATATAATTAAATTATATTAAGTATATATATGTATATTTTTTTCAAAAAAAGGGAGGATTCGATTCATGAACAAAGTAAGTTAGATAAAAGAACCACAAAATATGATTCTCTAGATAAAATTGCTGCCTTCGATAACCACCAGTTGGAAGATAAAGATGATATTATTAATAAACTCCAGCAACAAACTGAGAAACTAGAGAGAAAACTGAATGAAGAAACCAGAAAGTATCAAGTTTCCCAAGACAAGTTAGACGTGGGAAAAAGTAGTAAGTTAAACGAAGAAAAAAGTGAGTTAAACGAAGAAAAAAGTGAGTTAAACGAAGAAAAAAGTGAGTTAGACGAAGAAACAATAAAACATCAAGATTCTATAGAAAATTTTACCGCTCTCAATGACCAATTAATAACTAAAGATATTAATAAATTTCGGCAACAAACCGAGAAACTAGAGAGACAATTGAATGAAGAAACCGGAAAGTATCAAGTTTTTCGGGATAAATTTACATCCTTTAATAACAAATTAAAAGATAAAAAAGTAACAGAAAATGAAGATAATTTTGCTCAAGAAATCGAAAAAAATGAAAATGAAATTGAGACATTTAAACGGTATGAAAAATCAGCTAAACAAGATGATAGTGACGCACAAAATTATTTAGGATATTTTTATGAAAATGATTTAGGAGTACAAAAAGATTTAGAAAAAGCTTTTTATTGGTATCAAAGATCAGCAGAAAATGGAAATAAACTTGCACACTATAATCTAATTTCATATTATTTAAATGGACGGAATATTGATGAAAAATTAGTTAAACAAGAAAATGATAAAATGCAATATATATTAGGGTATTTTTATGAAATAAAGAAAGATTCAGAAAAATCATTTTATTGGTATCTAAAATCAGCAGAAAATGGTAATAAGTTTGCACAATATAATTTAGGTTTGTATTATCAAAATGGATGGGGAATTGAAAAGGATGAAATTAAGGCATTTATATGGTATGAAAAATCAGCTAAACAAGATAATAGTGATGCACAAAATTATTTAGGATTTCTTTATAAAAATGGTATAAATATACAAAAAGATTTAGAAAAATCTTTTTTTTGGTATCAAAAATCAGCAATAAATGGTAATAAGATTGCACAATATAATTTAGGTAATTTTTATCAATATGGATGGGGAATTGAAAAGGATGAAATTGAAGCACAGAAATGGTATAAAAAATTAGCTGGACAACATAACAAATTTTTTGTTAAAAATGAGGAATTATTACAAAATATAAATGCAGAAAATAAAGAAACTATAATTAATGATATTACTAATGATAATCCTTTTAATAATATTCAATTTAATGAACCTATCATCAATACAAACTGTGAAATTGATTCAATATTTATTACAGTAAAAGCAACCATTTCTCCCGGAATTTCTGATACTTCATATATTGAAGTAGAAAAGTTGCAAAAATTACTTATTAATCGAAAAGATGATATTGATCATATATTAGAATTGCAACCCGTGTATACCATAGGAATTGACTTCCAAAAAAATTCTACCAGACCATGCATTGCCTGTTAGGTTGCTAAACCACTTGATATTACAGTTTTGGAATGTCTTGAAACTATATTTGAAAATCAGTTTAATATTATATATAAAATAGTAACGCCTTTAAATGAGGACAATAACCAGAATTTAAATAACAGTAAAGAATTTGATGATAATAGTTTGACTAGTTACTATAATGAAGAAAATTTAGAAGAGGAAAATCGTAATAAAAATAATTATGGTAATAGTAGTGGCAGTGGTAGTAATAATGATCATAATAGTAACAATAATAATGGTAACAATAATAATAGCAGCAATAGTAATAATAGTAATAATAGTAAAAGTGGTGACGGTAGTAATAATAATAGTGGTGACGGTAGTAATAATAATAATGGTGGTGGAGGTGATGGTGGTGGTGGTAGTAATGGGAATGATATTAATAGGAGTATCCGAATTTCATCTAGAGTAATAGCAGAAGTTGATCCAAAGCCTCGTCAAGATTTTAGAATTGGTGTTAAGCTTTGGGCAAATTATGAAGATACTCTAAAATATAATATTGATGTGAATGCTTGCGGAATTGGAGAATTGCTAAATAATAAATGTCCATCACTTAATAAGATAGGTTTTGGTTATATACTTCAATCTATTAAAGTTCAAGTTTCCCCATTACCTAATGATGGAGGTGACTTGTTTGACTTAGAAAGATGTTCACAGCCAACACAATTGAATCAAAATGTTGAATTTTTAGTAGGTAGTGAAATGAATATTAATGGAAACATTGGAATATCAAGAACGGATATTACAGGTGGATATAAAAAGAATAATAATACTAAATATTTTTCACGCGAATGGGAATTTAACTACAAAGGTCCTATTGATAAAGGAGAGTATTGGTTATATGAACGTAACAAAAATCTTGATAAAAAAGATAGTACTTATGCTCCTGGAGTACATTCTGGCGAGTGGTTTGTTAAAGATGGGATGCATGGATTTTGCATTACTATTACTCAGGTATTACGTTATGAGATCACTCATTGGTGGCATAAAATCCCTCTAAATATGAAAACTTCGTTGCAAAAGTTTCCTATGATGGCTCACAATCTTGAAGTAACTTTTAATGACCTCAACGACTTTAATAACAAATTCAAAAAGCTAATAAAATCAACAACGTATGATACTGATGGCGATATCATCAATACTGTTGGCAGCATTGAAATGGAAAATAAAGTTAAAACATCAAAAATTGAGAATTTGAATGAGATTGGGAAGATTGAACGTTCATTGCGTTCAGTTTAAATCAATGAAATTATCATATGTATGTATTATTGAACAATAGTATTTTATTATTTATTATTTACCGTGTATTTATAAGTTTTTACTCAACACTGATTATAGAGTATACACAAATCTTTTCTTTTTACATAAAATAAATCAATCTATAATTTAGTTAAATATGTTTTCAAGGATATCACGTAAACACTATTTGCGATTTTTTTATTATTTATATGATTGTTTTTAGTAACCAGATTGGAAGCGAACAAATTTTGATTCTGAAAAATTTGCCAATAATATGCAATTGTTCATCTTTGATTTAGTTATGTGCAAAACCATATAATAATGAAATATTCTGCTGAAAACTTACTATATTAATATTGTTCTTGGTAAAGTCAAATTTAAAAAGATCGCACATTTACTAATTTATTACATTGAAAAAAAGTAAATTTTACAGTACAGCGATCTTTGATAATAATTCTTGTTTATAAATAAAACTCGGAATTAACTTTTTTTTTGTCAATATTGTCATTAAACTTCATGAATAGTATCGAAATAAATACAATAAAAGTATTGATTGGATTGATAAATATTGCGTTTATAAATATTTCAGTAATAATAAAGAAATCGGATTCGGAAGAAAAGTGTTTCGTGCAAATTGAGAAATTTACATCTAGCACTTAAGCCTTTTGGTAAGTTTTTTAACCCGCACTTGAACTCAAGTACATTTCCTATTTCTCATTAATTATATAAAAAATACCAGTTATTTTAAAATTTACAAATTGTATAGATTTCAAAGCTTTTTCTGATTTTTTTTTTTTTGCACCATCCGCCACTTTTGTTGCGCAAATTTCGGTCATTGAAAGGTTTTTTTAATCTTATTCTATTTCAGTTGATAACGATGTCCTAAGTTATATTGACCGAAATTTCTTCTGTTGCAGAGTTAAATAAAACATCAAAATTCGTCTTTCTTTTCTTACTACACATTTATAACAACAATCAAATTGTTTTATGGTAATTCTACTTATAATATAATTCATTGCAACTGATAAAATCAAGGTACAACATTCAATGAATATCTTTGGTTAAATAGCTAGAGTTATCCTTTCTAAAATTTTTCGCGAAGCTTGAAGAATATTAAACCTTATCTCCAAGTGCGTATAATGTTTCTACTAAAAAAATAATAAGTAAAATAAAAAATCAATCATACTTTTATAAACTTTCTACTAAGCAATTTCAATTTTTCAAAGATGAAATAAAAAGAGTTTTTACTATTCGTCTTTTTTTTTTGATTCAAATTTATAACTTCTCATAATTTATTTTGAAATAGATTTATATCCATTATCTTGATTTTCAAATCCAATTTAACTTTCAGTTTTGTTTATTAAATTAAAGTTTACTATTAATAATAGTCTATCATAAAGTAAAAAACTTTATTTTTGATTTTTTTTCAGTCCAAAAATAATTGGGATGTGACTGGTATGGTATACAATGAATCAAAACAATCAGGTAAATTAGTGAAATCCTGTCCGTCACTATTACTATAACACAAGATCCAAAAACAAAAAATTTTAGATAGGATTGCAGAACATGGAATTCACGTAATTATTTAGACACAAATTATAATAAATTAAGTTGGAATACTAAGTCTTTGCGATTTATGGCATATTTCATAACTATATAAACCTGTCAGTTTATAATGAATTCATAAATATGTATATGGTGTCTATATTATAATACTCCTGAAATTTAAATTATACCAAAGCTGCCGATATTTGTAGTTTTAATTATAATCAAATAGAATTTAAAAAAGCAAAATTGAAGCAGAAGAAATTAAATCAACAAAATATCTGATTGGTTTAAGTTTATATAAAACATGTTCAGAGCTAGGTTGCCAACTTTAATAATCTTCCAGAATTAATGAATTCTGATGATTATTACAAATGATATGATTATATAATGAGCGAGATATATTCAGATATGTTACATTAAGAATATTCAACATAAATAAATAATTACTAGGAAATGGATGTCATTATAAAATCCGAATGACAAAAATTCCCAAAGATGAAAACTCCATCATAAAGTTAAAGACAAAAAGTAAATTATTTTTTTTCCAGTATTTCAAAAAGAATACCAGAAACTAATGGTTCTTCCCAAAACTCAATATGATGATAAATATTTCATTATTCTTATTATTCTTGCAGTATTAACTACAAATGCCATTGTATCCTAAATCAGAATATTGCTGGAGGACTATTTTTACACAGAATATATAAATGTACAGGTCAGCAATACTTACTTAAAATTTGTAAGACGACGATACAGGAGTCTCATAATTCCTTGGACAATGAATTAAAGATTTAAATTTGAAACCATTCACATGATCAATGAACAAGCATTTAAACCTCAAATTTGATTTGGTCAGTATTCTCTTATTTAGTTCATGATTCAAAAAGTTAGTTTACGTTTGGTACGAGTGTTCTTGTCATATGATTGCGCCGTTCATATTTTGCAGCAAAATTCTCTCTACTGGTTTCGGATGAGCATGTTGACTCCATCATTTTATTACGTGTAGTAGATCATTACCATGAAAATATAATAAATTGCTCTTACGTTTTGATGAAATAATAATGATAAAAATACATTTTAATCAGTAAAATAATAAAACTTCAGTTGCCAATATTTCGATATTAATTTTAAAATAATGTGTCATGAGGGTAAAAATACCTTTGTGGTGCAACTTATAAATAATTGGTATTGAAGAGTAAAGTTCTTAGAGATCGACATTAGCAACATACTTAAATGTTGACATTTTATTACAAAAAAAGAGTTATTCCAACTAAGAAAAGCTAGTAAGAAATTGATAGATTTTAAAAAAAAATCCTGGCTGAAAATAGCGTTATTAAAAAATCAGAAAATTTCTTACTAGTTTACACGTACATTTGGAGTATCACGTGACCTTATTTAAAATTTTTATAAAAAAAATTTTAATACACCTCACGTACAGATTAAAAGTTATATCCAGAAATTTTAATTCCTTTTAGCCTTACAATTGATTTATTATATAAGCGAGGTAAATATTTATAAGAAAAACTGGGTTCAAAGTTAAAGAATTTAAACTTATGTAGGGAGTACACTGTTGATCAAATGCAGAATTGAAGTGGATTGGCAATATGCATAGTTACAACAATTCCAATTATGCATAATATGGCGCTAAAAAAAAATTTTTTTCTTTTTTTTTTTCTTTTTTCTTTTTTTTTTAATAAATATAATTTCTCTATTACCACTGAAATGTCAAAATGACTTCTGTAAAAGGATGGTTTGAGGAAAAGATAAAGAATGGGTACATTCGTCATTTTGAATATAATGAATTTGACGAAATCGTCGGCATTGGTAAAGGAAGTTTCGGTGAAGTGTTTCGAGCAAATTTGGCTAATACAGGATTATTGGTCGCACTAAAAATCATAATTAGTAAAAGTCAATATGAATCTGATGAGGTTAATGATGATATAATCAAGGAGGTACAAATCATATTAGCTTGGTAAATACATACAAATAAATTAATTTCGGTTTACCATTTTTTTTTTTTTAGTTAGAACTCCTTCGCGAGGTTGATTATCATCCAAGAATCAATCGTTGTCTTGGAATAACAAAAGGTATATGATGTTAAGATTTTTTAAAAATTTTACTTGTACAGTCAATCTAAATTATTCATATTTAAAATTAATAGATCCTAAGAATTATATTTTGGTATTGGAATATGCTAATGAAGAAAATTTAAGAACATATTTGAAAAAAAATTTTACTTCTTTGAAATGGACAGATAAAATTCAAATGGCATTGGATATTACTAGTGGATTGAAATTTTTACATGCTAAAGGAATAATCCATAGAGACTTGGTAAAGAAGTATTTTTGATTTGTTTTTGATGATAATTTTAATAAATATTGTCAATCATTTTGTAGCACTCAAAAAATATATTAGTGAATGATAGAAAATTATTAATTGCAGACCTTGGATTATCTAAAAAGTTGGCAGAAACAACAACTCAGTCAATGGGTAATCATTGTGGGATGGATGAATATATTGATCCACAATGTTTTAAGGATAGGAAGTATAAAAAAAATAAAAAGTCTGATATCTATAGTTTAGGTGTTTTATTATGGGAAATTTCAAGCGGACGTCCTCCTTTTTCTGAAAGTTCACGAAATTTAATTACCCATTACATTACTAAGGGTGATAGAGAAGATCCAATTGAAGGTACACCTCTAAAGTACCAACAACTTTATCAAGAATGCTGGGATGAAAACCCAGAATCAAGGCCCGATATTGAAAAAGTACGTGAAATTCTAAGTAAATTATGTACTGAAGATTCCTTTGATCTACAATCTCCACAACCTAATATAAACAATATTGATGACAAAAGTAAGTCAAAAGTTGACGATGATGACGATTTATATATTCATTCTGATCTAAATTCAAGAAGTAAGCTTAATATATTTAATAATAATGATTTTTATTAACAATAATTTAATTGAACAATCAATATTTCAATAGTTCCACTTGAAGTAATTGAAAATATTTCAAATATTTTTGAAGAAGTCGACAAAGTAGTAGAAGCTGCTGAACATTATAAACGAACTTGTAAAATATTAAAAAAGCGAGTTAATGCTGCAGAACTAGCCGTACGAGATCTTAAAAGAAATATAGAAGATAGAAAAGAATTATTTAATAGTAACAATTATTCATACTTACGAAATTTATTTGATACTATAACACGAATTAAAAAATTTATATCAGAAATTTCTCAAATGGAATCTTTGATAAAATATATTAAAGAGAAAAATATTGAGGATACTTTTAAGGAATTATGTGAAGAATTTGATAGTTGTATTAAATTATTGTCTTTTTCTATTGACGTTAAAATTGCTGATGAACTTGAACAATTAAAAGCCGATCAAGATGATTTAACTAAGGTAAGATTAACAAATTGGGGTTTATTATACATTATATGGGTATAAAAATTAATTATTGTTTTAATATTTATAGTATATACATATTAGTGAGGGTCAACCTGATCAAAGCGATCATAGCTCTCGTGCAAATTTATCGAGTTTAGATTCTGATGATAACGACGTTAGACTTGACGAATCTCTTCGACCATCAGATATATGCATTAATTTTCCAGTCGCTGAAATTACTTTTACTGCTGATTTACCAGAATCTTTTTCAAACTTTATGAATAATGATGAAGGAAAATTATATGAAACGCTTGGTCATCTATTTCCAATAAGGATTTTAATTGGTGATAAAATTCAGGAAAACAACTTAAGTGAACTTAAAGAGGAGCTTATAAATGAATCAATTGAAAAATGTAAAAAGGAAATAAGTTTGATACATGATCTTAATAGAAAATTGATGGATAATATTTAGAAAAACAAAGAAATTCTATTCTAACCAATGACAATTCTGCTACTGAAGAACTTGAGAAAATTAGACGGAAATTAATTGATGTTTATGAATTAACTGAAGAAAAATTCAAGAAATTTTAGATAACAGTCAGAAATCACTAAATCTAAATTAGAAATACAACTTTATTCCTTGATGTAGTACTCTTCAATTTATCATTATATGTATTTAATAAATGTACTTTTTTAGATGTAATTCTATAAGATTTTGCGCTTATTTCTGTCTGATATTAGTGAAATTATTATTTATCTCATTTATTTATTTATTAGAAAAGTGCTTTAATAGTAAAGAATTATTATTTGTCTTTTTAAATCCATTTGTGGAATCATATGATGAAAACACCAGGAATTCTTTTGTAGTCAAGTTACTTGGTTTGCCAAAACAACAATTTTCCATTAGCTAAACTACAATTTAGTTAGTTAAGTTTCCACTACGTCATCATTATTTATTACAAGATTAAAGACACGATATTATTGTGTAACTACACCCCGTTGCGGTTGATGGTTAGAAGCGGCAGTTTAATATTTTTTTATTTTTTATTTTTTTAATTCTTTTTTTTTCGTATTCCAATAAATATAACTTTTCCGAAATAATATTATAAATGAAATAATTGAATGGTTTAAGTGGATCGAAGAAGCTGTTTCTAAAAAGAATATTAAACATTTTACGAGAATAAACATTTTATAAAAATATTCGAGAAATTGGTACGACAAAAGTGCCATTAAAGAACTTATAATTATAATTTCTACAATAACATTATTAATTTTTATGGAGGTACTATTTCTAATAAAAAAATAATGCATGTTATTACAACATATTTGTACGGTACCCGAAGTTGAAATAACGTTCTCAATGAAAGACGCGCTTGTTTTGCGTAATTGACAACTTCAATAGAATATGAAGTTCGTCTAACAACGCCTTTGTGATTTAACCCATCTTTATTAATATAGCAAAAGATGTGAAAATACATCACGTCTTTACCATATAGACGTAAATACTGACAAACTTTCCGAAGACTGAAATTTGTTCATACATTCATTACGAGCTCTTAACCTTTTCATTTGATGCGTAATGCCTTGACCACTTTTCCATGTTAACTTCTTCATCACATTGCATTAACCAATATGTTTTCTACTTAAATTACCTAAATTCTTAATAATTGAAATAAAAGATTTGATCACGCTTTTAAATCTTTTATTTGAATTTCCCAAATACAAATTGTTATTAACAATTCCTTTTTAATAGCTTCGTGAAAAATTCTGCCATTAAAAATAAAGAAAAAATAAACGAGCAGCCCAATTGAATTCAATTCTAATATTGTTAGAATTTACCTCATTTTTTACTATTTATAACGCTTAATTGATAACTTGGTCAATTGTAACTTGATTCATCCATATGTGTCCAGGTCTCTATAGCATGACCACAACGGACACATCTACCAGACTTATAAATTTCAGGACTACGTTTATTTAAAATATCCATAGAAGGTAAAATTTCCAAAAAATTTTTAATATTATAGGCTACCATATCATTGTTCTTGACCGAAAATCTTTCGATTGTATTCATTCACAATTATTATATCGTACGAAGCGTTCCAATCAATATCTACATCTTGAAGTTTGAGTCTATAATATCAAGACCGACCATGTCGCTTTATAATAACATTGATTAAATGTTTTATAAAATTCATGTGGACAAGTTACCATTAATCTACTTCCCAAGAATTTTCATAATTTAAACATGTTTCCACATCATTATCTTTCATTTACTAGCTATTGTAACTACGATATTTGATTCTTGTAAATAAGTATACATTCTTCCATAAAAAGCTATTATGAATATTCCGTATTTTCCTTGAATTCCTTCTTTCCTTTGTTATCATAAAAAATTTTAATCCATAATTGGTAAACCGACAAATTCTCTGTACAAACTAAGACACTACTATAGCCATAAGCGCACATATAATCGTTAATTCTACAACACTGAAACAATTTTCTACACCTTTGTGGTATTGTTGGTTCTTGAAAATAAAACAGGTTCACGTATCGGCCGTATCGCCGTAAATGTACAACAAATCAGATGATGCTCAGATGATATTTGACGCAGATTGTTAGTGCTCGAAAATAAGTAACTCTATAATTTCTTCCTATTGTAACACTCTAATAATGTATTAATAAATCAAAATACTATAAAACTAGCCAATTTTGGATTATCAAAGATATTTTTGGTGTAAATTTCTTGTGTAAAGCTATTTTAGCCATCCACATTATGCAAGGTCTTTTAGTAATTAAAAGTTTGCATAATACAGCGTTAAATCTATTGCGTTTTGACATGAAGTATTTAATTTGCAATAGTGTAATGTTTATAACACAGCTTCAAATCACTAATATCACACCTCAAGTTCAAATTAAGGCTAAATGATTATTACTAATGAAATCCTCTATGATAGTAATCTTATTTTATTTATAACATATTATAAAGAATTTTAAATAATAACAAAATTTATAATTTCTAATTTATAATTAGAAAATTTTTATTATTCAAAATCTGAGGAGGTGGGAAAACTTTATTTGGCCTTCTTAACTCCTTATATAACTATCACCTGCGCGTGGTTTTAAGGATGCTTAAAATATATAAAGTAATTACTGTATATATCAATAATATATTAATAAGTTCACCCAATCAAAAGTAAAAATTCACCTATAAAATATTTGTTACAACCTCCCATTTCCATTTTACTATTATTTGGGATATTTGATGAACTTTGGTAAAATAAAAAAATAGCAAGGCTTACTGATATTATTTATCTAATTATTTTATAGTCGAGATATACTAAAACATTGATTTATCACATAAATATTTTACAATAATTCGCTTAATATATAAAAGCAAATTCTTTTGTAAAAATGACATTCACGTTAGTTAAATACCAGCAGTGATCCATTGCCTCGCACCAAGACTAATATTTATAAATATGACTATTACATTTAAAATGATGATACAGAAGATCCAATTAAAAGTACACTTCCAAAAATATCAAAATCTTTATCAAATATGTTGGAATGAAGAAACAAAATCAAGACACGATATTAAAGAAGTATATGAAATTATAAGTCAAATTGTAATATTGAAGATTTCTTTGATCTACAATCTCCACACGATATTGATAACAGAAGTGACAAAAGTAGTTCATGATCTAACTATTTCATCTAATTCTTCGAGTAAGTTTAATATACAGTATTAAGTCATCTTTTTCCAAAATTTTTAATTGGTGACAAATTGTTTATTGATGGCCCGCAGTATATAGTAAAATGAGAGAAGTGTTAAATAATAAGAATATTTATTTTTAAAACAAATAATAGAGATAGACAAATAACAAGATTATTATAAAGTGGAAGTATTTGTACATAAAAAATGATACCAAAATTAAAGGGGAAGAACTTTTGTGTATAAGAAAATTAAAGTTGTAATTATGATATATATAAAAGGAAAAACTATGAAAAGGTATAAAAGGAATTGATAACTTGGAATAATAATAATAATGTACAGTAATTTTATAGCGTGTAAGAAAAAAAATCGCAAAGTAAAAATTAATATCTACATTCTACAGCAGAAGATAATGATGAAAATTCACCGGAGGTTGCAATTTAAATATAAGTAAATTGTAAGTGGAAAATCAACGTTTATTAATTTACAGTATGTGGTTTTATTAAACCAGAGATTGATAGTAATGAAGTTGTTTAATATGTAATTGATTATTATTTGATAAATGGATTACTGAAATTAAAAAAATTGAATTCTTTATGACACATGATAAATAATTGCAATTACCCCGATAACGTATCTCTTATTCAAGAACGGTCAATATATGTTAATATCAATTTAAATCTCATCGAATTTACTAAATTGAATGAATTTTGGAATAAAATTTCATTGCAACTTCCTCTCTTAGGAAAAAATAGCTCAGCTTATCAGAAGTTTTTAGCAAAGAATTGCTACTATGATGTATTTTTAATAAATCAAATAGCAGCTAAGTACAATAAACTAGGAAACGGGAACCGTTGTAAGTCCGGAGCGAAAAACTAAAATTTGCGATTTCATTGGGTGACGATCACGTGGACGACACGTGATCGTTTTTTCGTAGTCCTTTTTTTTTTTTTAAAAAAAAAAAAAAAAAATTAGTAACGCGTTTATTAATTATGATTATATATATATAAATACATAATTACACAAACACTTAGAAAATAATATAACTATATTATATTACCCTCTATAACTAACCATTCTATCTAAATACTATACTAAAATTGTAACTATATATTCAATCATAATAAAAACTAATCTAAATGTATAATTTAACTTTCGTTCCCCAATTATTTTTGATCGATCTACCATTAGTTACGTCACCTAATAAACTAGCTTTTGTTACTAATTTTTAAAATCATTTTTATATATTTTTTTCATTTAAACTATTTTTATTTGTTTTTCCAATTTTTCTTAATTTTTTATTATCTTCACTATCATCATCATCCTCTTTTCTTTTTTTTTCTTTTTCTTTTATCCTTACTATCTATACCCCTTATCTTTTTCTATTTCAGCCACTTCGTCACATCTTTTAACAAAAAATTCTCACTCTATATTTATTATAACAAAATCTCCACAAGTCCTAATCAAAATCTTATATTCTTTTTCCTTCGATATCGCATCAATTTTCTATTGTATACACCTCTTAAAAGTTTCCATATTCTATTAAATCTTATAGTCCCTCGCTTCGCTCCGGACAAATAAACGATTATTTTACTTATAAAATTAAATCAAATAATTGACGTATCCCTGTATATAGAAATCAATCTTTTCCAAATTAGGTCTAAAACCCCAGTAAAGTTCAAATAAATCACGTGATGTGGTTCAAATAATATCTAGATAATCCATTTCTTTTTTTGGACATTGGTAAGGAGTATAATTCCGGACAGAATTATGTTTATAATTTTGAATTAATTTCCTAAAATGGATGATGACATAAGTGTTAAAAATCCTGTGACGTAATTTCTGGCCTTTCTATTAATCCACTTCATTTGTAAGTAGTAAAATCAACTTCATTAGAAATATTATCCTTACCAGAATTTTCCACCGTGATTATTAAAAATGTTGTCTTTAACAACTTTTAAAAACCACTTCGACTAGAATGGAAGCTTCTACTGTCACTCCGGTCTACATTAACCTGCCGAATAGCGGAAAGGTGTGTCTTCATATTTTTTTTTTTACATAAACTAGAAGTTCTGAACCTTAAATGTAGCAGTAATGGTGAAATGTAATTAATAGAAATTATTAATGATCGATTCTTAGATAATTATAGAAGAAGCAAAAGAGGAAGCAAATGGTCAAGATGTGGATGTAATTGAGATCGCATTACCTCCTATTAATTCCAAACATTATTTGAGAATATTGGAAGTGCATTAGTTTCATGTCGAAAGAATTGGGGAAAAATTGTTTATTAAGGTAACTGTCGTCTGGTCTGTAATTCTGTCTCATTTATGTTATTTATATTTATATCTCTTAGCTCGATGGTGGAAAGAAAGTTGATGTGCATGAAGAATTAAAGAATGATCTCAAAGATCAACTCCCAGATAACTGGTGGGTTCGAAATGAAGCGACGTGTTGTAAACAGTGGTGAATATCTCACTGATGTAGGCGCATGGCGAAAAAAACCAACCAACAAACGAACTTATCCTATTCTTTACTCATACCCACCGCCTTCAATCTGGATT